TTTTTGGCTTTATTGACAACTTCCCTTTGAAAGATAAGATATGTATGTTCCTCTTTCAAAGTCAACAAGGATGACATTTCATATATTTTTTGACTTGCCCAATCTGACAAATCATCTAAAATACAACACAGCCATAACCATACAATTACAATTACTTACCAAACTGTCAAACTTGGAAATGTTCACTAGGCTGGAAAAGTGCTAGCCTATGCAGCAGTCACATTGAAGGAGACACGGAAAGAGATAAATAGAATTAGGTGCCTGCCTGACCAATCTGGAATTTCCTCCCAATCTGTAAATTTCCATAGACTCACTTTTCTGGTCACACTGGGTCCAGATAAATGGTTTTAGATCAGGAAAGACGAGAAATGAGATCGGTTGTCTCATTGCTTTCACCCTCTACTGCAGTAACAAGCTACTATCGACTGGGAATATCTGTCCCTGCTACAAGATACAGAGTACCAGAAGTTTATGTTGTTCCCCCTCTTATAATACTAGGACTCCTTCAACCCCCAGAACTTTGTACCCCAATAAACCAGAGATCAGGTAAACAGTGTGTACACTCACCCCAGTCATAATGAGGGTTATACTTGTATTCTGGTTCCTCCATCATGATGACTGTAACGCTTTGGCCTGTTCTACCAGAGGATGGGAAGTTACTGTCACTGTTATAGTAGGGCATGTAGACATAACATTCACATACAACCAAGAGCTAGATCACTGTGTGTGTGTTTGCTGTGTCTCTAGTGAGCAATAAGAGGCCATCATGTCAACGACATATATGTATCTGAACTGTCAATCATTCTTCAAAGTGCCCCTCCCCCCTCCGAAAGTTTTATCACCCTGGCCTGGAATCCTGTGAGGAACTGTACTCCTTTGTGCCCTGCCACTTGACCGCATTGTGTGTATCAATAATTCTCCTAATTTTATCAAGATATGAGTCCCTTCTATTTACTGATAACCCTACTGCTACTGCTGCTGATGCTTACCGCACAATTGACAATGATAAGGATTTGAATGGGAAGGAACGTCCTTTATTTGTGTTACTCATCATCATGATTCTTCCAAGATGCATGTGACAACAAATTCTTCTCTGTCAAAACGACTTCAAAGAGGAGAGTGAAAACAACTTGACTGTATATCTCTTTTACTAGCAGATACAAAGCATAAAGATCCCTGAACAAATCCAGACATGTTTTCAATTATGATGTCTAAGTTGTTGAGAGCAATTTCATAATCCTTCCCAATAAGCTGAAGAATCATATTGAGTTTGTACTAAAAGTAAGACCTTTTTGTAGCTTCAATAATTTTCAAGAGGGAAGCAGAACAGCACAGAACAACAGAAAAACAGTCAGTTCTTATGTTTTCTCATTCTGATACAAAACATACAAAACAGATCTGTGCTGTGACAAAACATAACAAAGACTGGCAAAAACACAAATTGTTTTTATAACACAGTGCATTGAAAAAAAATGTAATATTTCTGATACTAACCCTTAAAAATTATCATTATAATAAAAATAATAACAATTAAAGAAACCTAGTCCCATATCTTCACCTCTCTTAAACTGTTTCTATTCCTTTTACAAATTTTATGACAAAAACAGCTTAGAAGGATGGTTTCAAGTCAAACATAACAAAATGATGCTCATTATTTGTAATTAAGACTGCCTGTCAAGGTTTATTTGCTATTTCCACATACATCATCAGATAAGTACCATCCAGCATGAAAATATGGTTAAACATTAATCCAACTTTCCTTAGCTTGCCAAGTTAGTAGCTTAAACCTGTGTCAGTATGAGGGGGTTGAAACAACAAAATCTAAAATCTATGGATTCCAACAGATTCTTATTAATGGGTATTTCTGTACCCTCTACCAGATTTGTTTTATTTGACATTCACAGACATTTCTCTGACATTTCAGAAAAAGAAAAGACCCCCCTTTTGAAATTGCTGGCTGAAGGCCTGCTCTTTCAATACCATATAAAATGCATCCACCTTGATTGGTGATACCATTGTTTGTGTCCCCTACAGTAAGGAACCAGAAAGGAACCCGATTGGAACCAATTTGGAGCCGAATTGGAGCCACTGTATTAACTGAGGTAACAACCCAGGAGCAGAAAAGTTAGAAAAGCTTACAAAAGAAGCTGCACATCATCCATCAGGTCTGCTCAGCCTCAAGCAGAGCTTAATTGGTCATGGTTGTCAACTGCTTACGAGACAACTTTATCGAACTAGTCATTTGTGACACACAGGAGCTGGAGGGCAAGTTCTCAACAAGTGGTAATGAGGGCTTCTGTGGTATTGAACATGACACTGAACATTAGAAAAAGTCACAGGGTTTAAATAAATTGAAATCTTTATTTTCAATTTGTTTTTTAATCTAAGATTTTATAAATGGTTTTTGTTTGTTTTCTTATAATTAAATCATCTTTTTTGTAACTCTATTGCTTAAAGAAACTTGTGAAAATGCTTTTTTGTTAGGAATAACTGTTTTTTTTTTTTAAATAAATTAATGTATTATGTTTTTTCACTCATTATATTGCTTCACCTAGTGAGACACATTTTGTACAAAAACTGTGCTAAAGGATTAACAAACACATAATATCTTTAGCCCAAACAAAATAAACAAGAAAGTGTATAAACTGCAACAAACAGGAGGAACAGAGCATAAACAACCTCACAGGAATCCCTCAAATGACACCAAAAACATCCCATTATGGACAGTGTTTACAGTCTAGCTGGTCCCAGGACCACAGGCCTACAGCCATCAAAAATGCTTCAAAATTTTGAAGACTTGTAGAGCTAGCCATCAGGTTCACGATCTGGGCACTGTTATGCAGTGACAATTTCAAGCACATGCAATGGAACAAGGGGAAAAAAGATAAGAAACAGCACGAAAAAAATGACATGAGACAGAAAGTGCACTTGTAGACACCAAAGAATTAAACTGGCGACACACTCTCGTCCATACCCAGCACAAATGTGGCTTTTAAACAGGGCCAATAACAGAAAAGTTTCTGCTTCTTTCCATTTCCTTGTCTCTTCAGAGAGGGAAACAATTAGCTTTGCTGACACAACCTCTCTGTTGTGTTTTTCACCATGACAATTGGAAAACTTAGTCATACTTGAATGCACCAATAACTTGGTCTCCCTCGATGGTAAGCCACTTTTCCAATCTGGAGAAACGCACCCAAGAAATGTCAGATATGCTCCTGTAATTTTGTCATCGAGCAGAGTGGCAGTCTGCTCTGAACCTACAGACTTGGTAATTCTGTAAGGTTTTATACCAAGACACTTTACTTATTATTAAGAGGGCTCCTTTTTATCAAATGAACCTGAAAGTAGTTAGCAATTTGTACATGATGAAATGGTATAGTTTCTCTTCTGTCTATGACTTATCCTCAGAATTTATTTTTAATTTTTTTTTTGTTCTCTGTTTTGGGCAGTTTTGACAAAAAAAATTTATTAAATAAAATTTATACTAAAGTTTGTTTTTTTTTTCTCAATTTCAGCTTAACCTCCTTTCAAAATCTTCCTTTCTTTCTTTCTTACACCCAGGCAAACATACAAACAGGTATTATGATTTTGTGAAATTCTAAAACAACCCAGAGCCACACAAGTTGAAAAAAGTTGTCAATGTAACAACAGACAAGAGACAAAACATTGGCAGAGAACGCGAGCAGACAAACAAGCCCGACACTGGTGTCATAAGAGCATGGGGAGACTTGGATATGATATGACAAGCTGGCGATCAAAACAAAAGTGAAATTTATGTAGCTCTAACACGATAGCAATTACAACTCCGCACAGTCGTGGAAACAGGATCCAAGTCTCTTCACAGAGTCATGCACAGAAGTCGTCCATTCCCTGGGACTCCATGACTTGAAATGAGCCCCATATTACTTCACTACCTCCTGCAAAGCAGCAGGCAAAAATCTCTTGTAGAGAAATTAATTAATCTCAAACCCCCGCCAAATTCTAAGCTAATTGCTTTCTCAGTCTGCTTTTCTCTCTCTCTCCATCACTATCTCCCACTTGGTTGACATTTTGATGGGATCAGGTAGCTGTCATCAGGAGAGCAAGGCAATGACGTTGGTAAAGAAGAGAAAAGATTTCAATTATTCCCTGGCTCCAAGAACAATCAAAAGATGCTGCTTTGCATGACCTTGTGTAATGTTGTGCTGGTTGCCATGGAAACAAATATGGCTACCAGTAAACAAATCGAAGCTTGATTCTGCTTCTGGGTCATGAGTAGTGACAACCAGCGCAAATGATTAATTGCAGATTTCTTTCAAATTGAAACAAACTTCTGAGTGCCAATTTCCTAAGCAAATAAAGTTTTTTTTTCTTTCTCAACTCTGGACAGCTGCCAAAATATGTCTAAATTGATATTTAAAAGTTTTCACTGAAAATTCTAAAATAAACGTTTCAGTTTAAATTCTATAAACATGTGACTAACTACTACTCCGGGTAAATCATCCAAAACAAGACAAATGGTATACCACATGTCAAACCACAGACATTTGTATCAATTTGCAACATTTTTAAACAAAAAATAAGGGTTGGTTTTAATATCTTAATGAGATTTTTTTACGTAAATACTAATGGTTTAATGGTATTTGTAACTGTATAAGAAATACTAAAATTAAAAATACAATATATTTCATTCCTACAAAACCAAAACCATTAAACTGGAAGACTTTCTTTCTCTCTCTCTTTTTTTTTAATTTCCTTTCTTTTATCATAATTTCATTGCTATTACTTTGAATAACAATTTGATTAAGCTCATCAACACTGAGATTATCCTTTGAAGTGATGAAAAAAGTTGTCACAAAAAAATTACACAGCTTTAAAAAATTGGAAAAAAAATGTCTTTTTTTTTTAAACCACAACATTACATAGTCTGAAATAAAATGCATGCCCATATAAATCCTCATTATATATGTTAAAAATCAGCTATTGAGGGAAACTTTTAAATCCACATATTTATTTCCTACCTTCATACATCTGAGGCGAGCCCAGGGGTGCTGGGGGCGGAGCAAGGGGCTGGGTCCCGGGTCTGGGGTCATAATACCCATAGGCCGTGCCGTGGTAGGATGGGTAGTACGGAGAATGGCTACTGGCGGAGGAATAAGGACTCCCCCCTGAGGAATCGTATACCTCTGACATTGGCTCCGTCTTGAAACCGTGAGTGGAATAAGGAGCATCGTAGAGCTGAATATACCTCTGCATCGGAGTTGTTTTGTTTTTTTCCTTCACTTTTTTTGGCAGTTATAACAAAAGATTCTTTTTTTTTTTCATTTAACCAAATAGCCTGGTGTTGACAGATCTCAGCAGTCAATTGCTTTGGCAAATGGCAGTTCTGAAACCCTCTCACTGAAAGAACTCTGCCATATTATCACCACCTTGGAGTGTTAATTACATTCCTAATTTTTTGGTGGGATCATTTCCTTTTCAGAGAGGAAATAGGCTACAGTGATTTTCTTTATCACCTCACAAAAAGGCAACGTAGTTTCTTTGAGCAAGTTCCAGAAGTCAAACAACAAATCAGCAAGTCTGTCCTGCTTTTAGGCAATTCATCTGCCAAATTAAGTTCTCAAAGGTGTGTTACATCAATTCACTATATAACCACGTATTTTACCATATATTTTTCAGTGCAGAATCATATGTAATAGATGTTTGTGTGTCCTCTCTAATGTCAGTAAGCTAAAAAAAAACAATGAAACAAACCAACAATCATTGAGTAATTTCAAACTTCCTAGCTGTCAGGCGTAATAAGTTCTGCTATTAGGAAGTCAACTCCATAAAAGTGAAACTTCACTGCTACTGTCTTTGCCAACCAAAACCAGGAACTAGGAAGAAAAAAACCCAGAAGAATCTGTCACGCTTCACTCCCTGTTGTGACCACTTTACAGTTATGACAGCCAACAACAACAATGCAGTGACTGAAACAATCACGTGAATGCCATTAATTTGTCAAATTTCGTTAAAAGCAGCAATATTGTCAATCTTCCTACAATCAAAAGTCCACTTCTTGTCCAGCCAGCTGACCACACTCAAAGTATCTAGAGTAAAACAAATACAACACTTCCAACACCTGTTGCTTTTGCCTTCTAACTGAATCCTAGAATTCGAATGCTCTGATCCAACAGGTATAAAATAATCAGCTCTAGTACAGTTTCTACTAAAATGAAATTGGTCAACAAAAACCAATGACATAAGTGTTCTTTCATTTGACCAGATTAACAGAAGGGAAACAAGTAGCTCTGGTTTTAGAGTTTCACCTGTTCCGCTGACCAATATATCTGTCAACTGGTTAGCTAACAAATGTCACAGTATCTGTGTATGCTGTAACCAAACGATCCCTCTCAGGTATGCAACAACCAGCAACTTTCTCTCTCTGAACAGTTTTACCACCTGTGTTGCCACCAAACTACTTTCCCAACTGGAAGCATCTTATGGGTCTCTCCCTCTTTTAAGTAATTCGGCGTGCTGTCACAGAACACAGTCCCTTAACTAAGCATTGTGCTAACTGGTCGTAATCACTGGCTGATTTATAACAGACTGTCACCACCACTTACATCAGTGTCCCTGCAGTAAAGGTCTGCTCTCTCAGTGCTCCCATAAAAAAAACTCCCTCCAATCACTCTGTCACACACCAGAACTCTGTAAATCAGAATCCCTACATCACGTGACTTGTGAGTAAAAGAACTCAAACTCAAACCCAAGCAGGAGCATGTTACTATTATTTTGAGGACTGGGAGTTGCAAAGATTTGACCTGTCTGCCTGGGATGTAACCTGTCCATGACTTGACGATTAATTCCTCATTACCTTACAATGGTTTTTTTCACTGTTGCTAACCAGGTTCCCCATTCAAGACAACGCACCAACATTATTTTTCTCAAGTAGGAGGAGAAATTGGGCATGAAACTAGCTATTGTTTATACAAGGTGCCACAAGGCCTGATAGGGGGCATTAGTATTACAGATTAGTCTTATATCAAATTAAAAGGGGGGAGGGGGGGAGGGGGCAGGAGCTAAGACAAGGATTAATGATGGTCTCCTGAAAACAGATTGGATTAATTAAAAATCAAGTACAGGTGAGTGAGGATTTGAAGCTTTGTTGTATCATATGTCATTTCAGATGTGTGTTCACAAAAAAATAACTGCTGTAAAAAAAAAGAGAGAGAGAGAGAATGAGAGAGAGTGGGAAGGAGGAAATTGAAAATGGAAGTTCAAACATGTGAGATTTTATAGCTGTCCAGGTTGAAAAGGCTCTGCCCATGGTTCAATGCTTGTTTCAAACACTGTTTACACAGTCATACAATACTGAAAATACAGGGAATGGTTGTATATTACAACCCACTAAACAGTACCAATCTAAGGACCTCCAGGAATCTGTATATATAGGCTGGACTTAAAAGTTACTCCAGACTTGTAACATTTCTATATTTTTCAGGTGGCATTTACATCACTTGGCCAGGTTGACCATATTAACAGAGGTCAAGAGATCAGCTAAGGTCATACCAGGTCAAAGTAGAGGTCAAAGGTCAGGCCAGGTCAAGAGGGGTCAAAAGATTTCTTTCTTTTTTTTTTATTTATTTTTTATTTTTATTTATTTATTTATTTATTTATTTATTTTTTGTAAAACTTCAGAATAAGTTTTCTTCCCTAAAAGTCATTTTTGACAATCATCTTTCAAAAAATAAAAAATCATAAATCTTAAATGTATCATGTTTCTTAAAAAAGACAAAACTGAAAACATAATTGCTTCATGTAATGTTTTGCAGAAAACTATTCTTTTTGGTAGTATAAAGCTGCTCAGCATGTTCTGCTGTGCATACATTTATTAAAACAAAAACAAAAAAAAACTTTTCAAAGCATTCAATATTTAATTTAGCAGAGAGGGTATGGACTGAAAGTATAAATATGCCCATTTATAAATTTATAGATTATACATACCAATTTAATGTTTACTTTAACTCCTATGAAGAATTCCACTGAAAAATACATTTTCTTGAGTAACAATTTAGGTATATAATATATGGGTAAGGCAATGTTAACAAAAAAAGACTTAAAAACAGCAGCCCCATTTTTCTGCACTTAATATCTTCTCCAGGGGCATGTTTATCATTCCTCTAAAAAACACAGGTTGTTTACACTGTCACCATGGAAACCCAAGAAAGTGTTTGCATTTTAAATGTGTGAAAAGTCACATAAAAGTTAATGATCCTATTTGTCAGTTTTTGTTTTGTAAATCTCCTGACACATGAGAGATGAAAATCACTGAAGTTCCAGATGATATATTTCCATAAACACAAAGTGAGTTTTGATACGGTTGACCTCCGATGCAGTTAAGTCACAGCTTCAGCTTGTTTGACATTTCTGTCAGCTTATGATGTCGCCATTTTTTATGTTATATTACTGGCAAAAATGTGCAAGGTGTGGTCTGCGCCAGAAAAGGAGTCTATACATCTAATTTACATCTATCGTACAGTCTCCCTTCAAAGTACCTTACAACCCCCTGTAACACATATGCAAAATTATCTTATTCAAGAGTGGTAAATTTTAAGAAAAGTATTGAGAAGCCATTCTCAGCAATTTGACTTATTTTTCAGGTATATATATATATATATATATATATATATATATATATATATATATATATATATGATAACATGACTATTACACAACACATCCACCTATTTTGTTACATAAAATGCTGGCAATCAGTTTTTTTTCTTCAGGAGACAACATTTAAATATATATATATAAATATTTTATTCGGAACAGAAGGGGTGGGATGGGGGGGGGGGAGAAACAGCCTTTCCTATGACAGTATACAGTACCATTCAAAATTTGGCACGGGTAAAGAGAACCAAATGCTGTGCACTAGAAGTACCGTGTACCCCGCGACCTCCCGTGAACCATCAACCATCGAGTTCCAGACTGGTCCGCCCAGTTTTCTGGTTCCGTGTCGTACATGTGCAAGCAATACAGGTCTTCTATTACTAAAACAATAGCCTGCCGTGGGGTCCCCGACTTGTGAAAGACATCCTAATGGCAGTAGAGGAATTACAAAAGCCTAATGGGAAATCTTACTTTCAAGTTCAATTACTAACTGACGGACTCTGGGTACTGTCCAGGTTTTTTTCCCTTAGGATCTGTTTTCTTTGCATTAAAACTAAATATTCTAAAAAAATTAAATTCACATACAAGTTACTTCCATTTTCAAAATAATTTCTATCAATATTAGGAAATTTCACATTCTGTTGCCATTTCTTTTTCATTTTCTTCAACAATTTCTAAATCCAATAAACCTCAATGCTTAAATCAACAAATAATATTAATTAATTATATTCATCAGCATTTCACCCATTAGTTATGTGGCATTTTCAGCATTCAGTGTAGTCTAGACAATATAAATATTCTCTTTGTATTTTCCTTAATTGTTTTTCTATCCTTGGATGAAATCGTAATGATAAAAGATGTAAACCAGGACTGCTAAGTCACCCCTATCAGGACACTGCCGCCCAATAATTGGTTTCAAATGAACAATACAAACAATGGTTACGACATTTTGATGGTTATTGACTTTAAAATGTTTCAACCTCAGCATGTATGACTTTGACTGGAATTGGAATAATGTTTAGTTTGTGAGGGCCTTTATGTTAAGCTGAACTATCACTAAAAACAATGGAATTCATTCTAGTCTAGTGTGTACTGGGTGGGACTAGGTGGGGTGGGGGGGGGGGTGGAGGAAAGGATTTGAGACAGTCCACATATTTCATTGAGTCAGGCATACTCTTTAATTTTTTCTTAATATATTTCACCACAAGTAATACTATTGTGTATTTTCTGTTCATTAGGCCATAAGGCTGACCAATCACTACAAACAATGAAATCCAGTCTGGTATCTGTAAGGATTTGGGAAGGGGGGGTGTATACATGTTGTTACAACAAAACATTTCCTCAGCAGCATTTCATCTAACCTACGGTATGTAAGTCTGCCCCTTTCACATTCTCAAACCCTCCCTCCCTTGTTCTTCTTCTCTCTCTCTCTCTCTCTCTCTCTCTCTCTCTCTCTCTGCCTTATAAACAAAATTATTGTGAACTTTGATACTTTGAGTCTCAGATTTGTGATTGCGATCACTGAATAAAGGCTTTATGATTTCATAGTGTGAATGTAATAAAAAGTTGTTTCCTTTCTACGCTTCATAAACACACACTGTACCATTGGCTGGTATGGCAGTGACCCACTGTAGAGGGTGGGGAATACCCCCCCCCCCCTCCCAATCAACCATAACCCAAGATTAAAACAGCCTTATCAATAGTCACCAATGTTAAAACAACTCAATCACAAAAAAATTGGAATCAATCAGTCTTTGCCCAATATTACTGTGAGGCTAATGCTATGTTTTCACAAATCACAGATTGTAGGAGAATATATCACAAGTCCTGTTTATAAATTTACACCAATAAGGTGGTTGAATGAAATCCCTGAATCCTGTTTCACAACAGATTTTGGGCTCTAAAAATGCATCATGCTCTCAAAAACTTGACCTTGTAGTTGTACTATATATTTTTTTATCTTAGATTTGAGTGGTTTACTTATTTTATACCATTTAATTAATCTTTTCTTTTTTTTTTTTTTGTTAATTTATCCTTGTAATGTCTATTGAACATTTTAAATAGATTTTAGACTTAAATAAATGTATTACTAAAATAAAGCAGATCACGAGAAATGCAACAGGTATTCCTTAGTGCCCTCACTGTGGACATAAACAAACATTTGCCAAAAGGACACAGAATTACACACACACAACACACACACATAAAAAAATTGAAAAAAAAACTTTGTTTCAATACACATCAATACATCAGCTCCAACTAGCATTACAAACATAACATGAAAGCAAGCAACTTTTTTGTAAAAATTCTGAAAATAATTCCATTTGACTTGACAGATTTTCAAAACATTTTTTACCAACAAATTAATCTGACTTAGCAAACTCATCTTTTTTTTTTTTTTTTTTTTTTGGCAAAAAGAAAAAAAAAAGTCACTTTGAACCATGGATGCATGCTGTTATGCTTCCAATCATCTCACAATGGTGAAAATAACAAGCATGCTCTGCGTGAAGACAAATGGGTCACTATTTTGTTTAATGAAACCATAAAACTGACTGCTACATGAAGTCTAATGTAAACCTTCACTCTCAACCTGCTGTACATTAGTCTTCCTTATAGAGCAGAGCAATTCACAGAGACATGCTCACAGACTGGGTAGGACATTAAACAATGAGCTTACTGCGGCCCAGAACTGTTCGTCCAATGGGGACCATTTGGTCTGCATGACACTGGCCCAGAGGTTTTTTGTTAAACTCATGTTTATAAAATCAGTTTAAAGCTTAATTAATGGGAATTACCTGAGAAAGGTTAAAACAAGGCTATCAGTGCTGCGAGACTATAAAAAATGCAAAAATCCAGAAAGATAGAAATTATTTTTCAACAATAAGGGTGAAGCTTGTGTGCACCAGGAATGTAATCATCAAATTAAAAAATACATAAGTGACATGCAAGAGTCCATTGATCTCTGCAGGTTGGGCTGTGAGTGTGCTCACTGATTGCTGTAGAGAAGTACATGGCTGCTACCTGTGAAATGTGCTGCAGGCCAAACAAAACAAATTACCATCTGACTGTTTCCAGTCAAATATTACAAGCTTTGCCTACTACCTTCTTCCTGGGTCACAAAAATATTTTAATAGATATTCACAGATATCCACAAGCTGTACATAAAACCAGCTGTGCACTTTTCTATACTGTACTTTACTAGCTATGCACTTTTCTGTACTGCACGTAATACTACTAGTAGCTGTGCACATTTTTGTACTGTACTCTTGAAGATGTTCATTTTTCTGTACTGTACTTTACTGGCTGTGCTTTTCTGTACAACATGTGTCCTTAGAGAATTCTTGTATAACCCTGACATCATCACTGTCCTTGTTTGTCCTTTGTAATTCTACGTTTTAACACTGTATTCACAGGCATTTTAGAAATTTTTTCCAATTTATTTGAACTGAGAAAATTTCAGTCATCTCTCATCTTTAAGAGGCTCCGTGTTGTTCTTGAATTTTGAACTTTTTCACCTTCTTTACAACTTCTGCACTTTATGTGCTTTAAATATATGACACTTATCTTATATATTACACTAACCACTGAGTTGTTTTATTTAAATGCTTATTTAAATACAATAAATACCAGCTAACCTATCCCTCTCAAGTGAAAAACTATTTATTCAGACAAAAATACTTGTACCAATTCAATATAACAGGGGCGGATCCAGAGAAATTTTCTGACGGTCTTCCAAATTATCTTTGTTGATTCATCCTCCATTTTTGACCGTCTTCGGACAGATAAAATTAGACACCCGTCAATGTAAATTTGAAAATCTGACCGTCTTCCAGAAGACCCAGAAGACGGCCTAAATCCGCCCCTGTATAATTAGTGAATGCATGATTGTGCTTTTCTAACAACTTATAAAAGCAGGCTAATTGAAGCCGACATTATCGCTTGTGTACCCTGCCTAAGAAAAAAAAACTCAACCAGGATCTGGAGCACATGATCAGTTTGGAAGGCAAAACAAATAACTTCTTCCTGGATGCAGGGAAAGGGGGGCACCATGTGCCTGGATCTGCACTGTAACTCAGCTGCCAGAACTTCCTGAAACCTGCTACTCCAGGACAGCTTACACTGGCAAAACTTGCCACAACATGCGCGACCCAGGTTCAAATGATCTAGCAACATATGAACATGTGTTTCAGTTTTCTGCCAATGCTTTGTGAACTTGGCTGCATTTTCAGTCCAACATAGCAGGCAGGTTTACACTGAGCAGTTGCACACTGATTTCACAATGTGCAACAAGCATTTCGCCTTCATAAGAAAAGAGAACAGTTGGACTGCATTACATCATGCAGATTATGTTGCAACAAAAAGATACAGTTCTACTTTAGCTGCACGTGTAAATAACACTGCACCCAGAATATAGACTTGTAGTTGCATACCAGAAGCTACCTTGACTTAACTCACTTTTGCTTACTGTAAATGTGTTTCAAAATACTATTGGCAGGAATGTAGAAATATACACTAAATTGTTGGATTGTGCAATGATACAAATCGTTAAATTGGAATAAGAATAAACATTAGTAAACATTACTACTACTACTACTACTACTACTACTACTACTACTACTACTACTACTACTACTACTACTACTACTACTACAGGGTCGGATTTACTAGTAGGCCATCTTCTGGGTCTTCCAGAAGATGCTCAGATTTTCTAGTTGACATTGAGGAGTACCTAGTTTTTTTCTGTCGGAAGACGGTCGAAAATGGATGGATCAACGAAGATAATTTGGAAGACTGTCAGAATATAACTGTCAGAATATAACCCCTGTACTACTACTACTACTATTACTACTGAACTACTACTACTACTACTACTACTACTGGAAGCCAAAAAGTGATAAGGCATTAAGCTATTATTCCATCAGATGAGGGAGCGTATATGGCGTATATGGCTAGACTATAGTTACCAGTCACAACAGGACTAAAAATGCACCTCAACTTTGTCCTTCAAAGTTCATGTAAACACACCTGAAGTGGAGTAAGGGCAATGTGGTTGTCATTAATTCCTTAATCCACAGTGGGAGATTAACACCCTCAGATTACATAACCTTTATTACCATATTACCCACACTAAATGAGGGCAGGCTGTGTTTAGTCTATCTTACCTATTTGCTATGGTCTAAAATTGGATATAAAATGTATTAATAATGTAACTGACAGAAATATTTGTAACCAGAAAGTTCAACACAAAGAGATTACTGTGGTAATATTTTATTTGATATCATAAGTGGCACATTCAGTGTTATAAACTTTCATGCAAATGGTGATCAAGAAATTCTAAGAAACCACACTGATACAAATTCTAGCAAATCTCTGTCTGAACATGAAATGATTAGAATTATCTATAGTCCTGGGAAATTCCCTTTGTGGAAAGGACAATATAATTTATTACATCATACAATGCCTGACTAAGGCTTCGTTCACATGCAATGTCTATTTTCTAAATTCTATTTTCTATTTGCGGTATGTCTTATGATCACGGTCTGTGGCCTGAATATCCCGCCGCGTAATTACTGGCAGCGCGAGCCAGTTACTATAAGTTACTATAAGTAACTGGCTCGAGCTGCCAGTAATTATGCGGCGGGATATTCAGGGCACAGACCGTGATCATAAGATAGCGCAAATAGAAAATAGAAATTAGAAAATAGACATTGCATGTGAACGAAGCCTAACATATACTGAAGGCAGTGGGGGGTGGTGGGGGGGTGGAGAGAGGAGATACAGATACAAAAAGGAGAGGTAATATTCTGCATCCACCAGTGATAATATAAAATAACTTCAAACCTCTCACACATCAATTCACAACAAAGTGTTACATCTTACTATTGTATCAACTATAGCATATGGGTGTCTCCATATGAAAGTTCTCAAGAACCTTGACTGGAACAATCTACACTGTGTTTTTGAAATACAGGTGTCTCAATGGAGGGGGATACACCTGGAGTAAGTGGCAGAAAGCCTTTTTTATAAACCTCTCTCTGCTGGCTGCAAATGCTAAATTTTCTTCACATACACAGGTGGCTTTTGAAAGGGTGCATATTATAAGTCATTGATGGCACTAGTAATGATCGAAGCAGTCTATGGCTATCCCATGTGCCAAAATAGTCCTACCATCTCAAAATGAACTACCACTTAATCGTATGGCAGTGTTTTTGAACAGTGTGTGTTTAAGTATAGATAGTAGTCTTTCTCTATATTTGGTACCTGTAGCAGTTATCTGACAGCTGCCATTACCCAATACTAGTAACACTATATGCACATCAAATAAAAAATTCTTCATCAATTTTTATATACAGCATTTTTAACTTCAAGTATAAACAAAATCGAAACATTTCTTCTTCTTCTTAGGAGGGAGGTAATTTACACTTTGAAAACATCTATGTGGAACTCTTGCACCACTCAAAAACAATCTAATGTCTAATAATACTGATGATTCATGGTCATCTCTTATGGTCTATGTTTTCATAATAATCTACGTTTTCCTTATAGATAAGGATATATACTACGAGAATGATAAAGAATATTATCTACTATAAGATATCCAGGCCAGCTTATTATTAATTGCATGGGATGCTTAACTTGCTAGATTACCTATTGCTGGAGGGCTCAAAATGAAAGGGAATTCCCACAGGACATCGATCAGCTGTTGGGCAAAGTGCGGAATCTATTTCGTCCGCTTCCACTGTCTGAACGTGTTTACTAATTTTGGTTATTTGGCAAGATTGCTTTCGATTCCACCCTACCTTCATTTTCGGAATCGTCACTCATCTTGTTGTGCGTTTGATCTAGCGTTAGTTGGAGTATCTGTCAGACCAGGGGATTCCTGGGGTCAAATTTCACCAACAATTTTACTAGTTGGACTTCTACCTTTGCTTAGATGGGGGCGGATGTGGATGACGTCACGTGACCTGGGTCATGTGATAACAACTTCCGTTTCTTCGGTCAACCACGTTTATCATTGTGTTTGTTGTGATCATTTTTATGAATGAAAAAATTAATTGCCTTCTTTCTATGGATCTTTTGTCTGTTTAACCGTAAATTGATCATTAATAGAATATATTTTAAAGACAAATATTGTGAGCAACTTTAATGAGCTTCACTTACATTGCATAGATTAACGTGTTATAATATTAACGTTAATGTTACCCCTCTAACGTCAACTTCTTGGCTCTATTCTGTTGATTATCATTTACAACTGCCTTGATTTATTTTATCGGTAAGGTCTGTATCAATACAGAATTAATGGTTATATCTTTATTGAAATCATAAAAAAACATAATGTTTCCAAATGAACGTCACTCACCCCTGAGGCTTACCCCCACCCCTTACAATAATATTTAATTTTCCGAGGTCACCGAAATGCTACAGTAGTTATGTGCATTTTCTTGGCGCACAGTTTTGAAAACATTTTATACCCATTTACTCAAGCTGCGGATTTGAGATTATCAAGACAAAACCAATAACGTTAAATTTCCCAGTCTTCCCCTTGAGACAAAATACTGGATGCTTATGTTAAAATATAGATTTTTCATTATATTATGTTGGATTAAAATGGTCAATTTATGATCTTTTTTATTACATGGTGCATATTTCGATCCCAATCACAAACCAGCTTATCTTGTGTGAAGTATGTTGAAGTGGAGGTACGTTTTTCCTGTATCGCACGTGTGGTTCGAGGTCGAGGTTCGCTGAAGTTTCTCAGTTTATATATTTTTCTAGGGTCTAGTTTCTTCCGGTGAGTGGGTATAGAGTTATTGAGGCAATGCTCTTTTAATTATATTCTTTAAATTTATTTTAAAGAAAATGCATTTTCACGAAGGTAACGTACATACTAGTACCAGCTCGAGTTTAAAGGGATAACTGTTCATATGAGATTCATACTTCACAATAAAACATTGTAAACAACTCGTGAGTCATAGAAATACTATAAATTCCATTTTACCACCAAAACAGAGATTATCACATTTATTTTGGAATCTTTGCTTGGACCTTCATTAGATGGCTATACCGCCGTAGTAATCTCCAGATGTTGTTATAGAAAAACTAAGCTTTTTAGAAAAAAAACATGGACTAACTTTGGATGACAGAATGGATTCATTTACCATAAAGTGTGGGACGTTTAACCCTGGATAATCCATTTTTTCCAAAATGAACAGTTGTTATCTTTTTAACATTGTATTTGTCACAGTTCATTTGGTTTTACAACTTTACAAAACCTCACCATAACATACTAAGGTTGTGAAGTAATAGTCATGTACTTGTGCATCTATACAGTATACGGTTTACATTAGCAGTACAGTTTAAGTGCCATTGTCTCTTTCTTTTATTATTATTATTTGTTTGCATTCTGTCTGTTGATCCTCTCCATATAAATTTTGAACTCATCTTATGAAGCTTAGTTACACAACTTTTTTTAAATCAGAATACAGAATTTGAACGGCCCTAGTGAAACTGTGACATAACTTTTTCATATTTGAAAATGTTCTTATTTCAGTCCTTTTCTGTTGACCTTCTTTTGACCATCATGGAAGATCGCTATCGTAATTTTGTAGCTTTTAATGGCTACTTTCAAGTTTGTTTTCAATGCAGTGAAGATGAGAAAAACAAGAAAAATGAGGTGAGTCAAGACAAATTTCTTTTTCTATAATTTCTGTGTACAGTGTACCAGTAAGATGAATATAAATTAATATTTGTATCATTTTATTTGTACTAGAAGTTGCAGTCCAAATAAGCAGCCTCTAGCATTCCTCTTAAAATTTTTATGATCACTTGTTTCACTGTAATGTGCCCACTATTTTCTTGCAATTTTAAGATGAATCAGTGACTGTGCATTTGTTAATTTTGTAGATCGAGAACCAATTTTCCACTGTTGGCAAGGTGATGGGTGTATCCTTCTCAAACAAGTAAGAGTTTGGTTTTAATTAAGAATTGTATAATATATAATAATATGGTTTCATTTATGGTTACTTGACTGTTTGGTTCAGTTTGAAATGTGAATTTTTCTGTAGTATTATTTATTTTCATATGGTAAATTCACAATTCATTATTCAGAACTTTGAGGATTCGTCAGAGTGAAAGGTGAAGGAAAATAAACACAACTTTCCAAGAATTTGACCAACTGTGTGTAGATTTTAACACTTGCAGTAAACAAATCCCTTAATCGAACTGAATATTTTCCAGATATTGCTTTGTAAAATTCCAAACAAAAGCTGAAGCCCTAAAAGCCTTGGATGAGTTGTCTTGTACTTATCGTCTAGAGATTCCATTAGGGAACTTGGAGGGGACAGCCAAAAATGCAGCTGGCCAGAAGCCTAGGAATGGTGGCCTACAAACTTATACACATCAGGGTAAGGTTTTTATATGATTGGTTATTTAGAAAAAGTACTTGTGTCTTAGGCTTTTGACATTTGCCTTTTTTTTCACTTTTTTTTCGTAACATTATGATAATTAAACAGAAGGTCTGTGTTTTGTTTGCAGGTATATTTCTATTGTTAATGACAAAATAACCAATGGGTCTCAGATTACCCCTTTGTTTTAAGGTGTCATTATATATTATAAATCATAATAAACAAAATGAACCTTCATTTATGGCTACATATGTAAAAAAGATAATGTGTGCTTTTCTGTGTTTCCATTCAGGTTGTGATGTGGCTTAACTGAGTACACACTATCTCCCCAAACTGAATTTGGTACTATACATTTTGTTTTCAATCATGGTGAGCCAACAAAGGGGTTGGATTAGCTTCTTGTCATTTGATTGTGTTGTCCCATTGGCTGCCTGAGATAGTATGATACTAAGTTAGACCCCATTCCTAGTCTATGTAGTTCGACCCAACTCTACGGGGACTCCTGGTAAGTGCGATCAGCTTTACAGAATGACACGCTTTCTCTCGTCCAGCATACTTGTATAAACAGCAGCTTTTTTGTTTGCTGCTTAACACCAAGAGGAGGCCTGTCATTCCGTTAAGCTGATTGCAGTCAGCAAGAGTCCCTTCAGATTTGGGCCGATCCTCGTAGACCGATGTTGTGGGGTCTTCATTGGGGCTTTACACTGGTCACAACTTGCTCTTTTGAGGTTTAAACTACTGAACATAAGCAGTTCTTTAAGGTCTAAACTCCTTAAATTTGAAGTTTAATTTCTCTGTTTGTTTTTTACCTTAGGGGGAGGAGGAGATGCATCGCAAGACTGGGTTTGCAGGTATGATGGCCTTTTCAGGACCAATTTTTAAACAGTACAGTTAGAGTTCTAAAACCCACATTTGCTATTTAGGATAAACTGACCTGTCTACCAATAACGCAAATATAAATTTGCAGTTTCAATGACCTTAATGGCTTGCATGTTGGAGGTTTTCAAAAAATTGAAGTCAGTAATACACATACAACTTTACAAAAGATTGCTGATATTATAATGATATTATCAGATTAAAACAGTGCATGAAGTTCCAAATGAAACAAAATTATTGTATATTGAACCTTGAGACCATTTGGGTGACTATTTTTTGGTGATGAATAGAGAAGGTAATGATGACATGTTCACACTTTCATATTTTAGCAATTGTGGAAACTTAAACTTTGAATTCCGAGTCAGATGCAACATGTGTCAGTGTGATAGGCAACTCAACAACAGACTTTACTCAGGTATCGTGGGTTATATTAATATAAACAGATAAATGTCATAGTTTTAATGTTTTCTACATGGGTTGAACATTCAGCTAAATTATGATGCAAATTGATTAGAAAATGCAGAGCTTATGAAATTGTTTAAAAAATGCAGAGCTTATGTATAAAAAATGATGATAAAGATCAAAGTATGGCTCAGGCTCCCTCCATGTAGGTGGTGATTTGTGCATACATACTGTATACTTATAATCAGTGTTTGCCTCCTAGGAAAATAAGTTGCTGGACCGAAAGCTCAGCCATCTTGAAAATTAGCTGGCTAGAATGCCTGCCGGGTGGGAAAACTTCTCTGCCCATTCTGAAAGTTGTCTGCCCCAGGCAGACGGTCCAGCCTTAATTTCTAACACTGCTTATAATTAATACATACCACATACTTTTAAATGTTGCATTTACCAACAGGTGGCTATATTAAAAATACCATTTCTTATTTATGTTTTTTAAATAAAAACTTTGTTTTCTATTCAGATGTACCCAAGAGCATTTCCTCGCCTTTCACAGGGGTACAAATATATGTTGGAGGGCTCCCTTTTAATGTCACTGAGGTACAGTTGTTGACATCTTTTATTACTTGTTTGTCTGTCAGCTTGTGTTCATTCTACCTAAATATGAACATGTAATGAAAATCTTTATTTCCTGGAAATGGCTTATTTGCTTAAGGGGATGATAATCCTGCTAGAGAGAAAAATTGAGATATTTTATATGTTTTCATTTAATTCCAGGATGAGGTGCTCGAAACCTTCCAGATGTTCTGTCCAGTCAATGTTCACAAGCCTAAAGCTCAGAAGGTCCAAACGTATGTCACATCACATTGATATGTTTATATTTAGGGTTTTCCATAGTTAAAGCATATAAGATGCCAAATTTTAAAGATAAGAAACACTTTCAGGGTTTTTTGCATGCCCCAAACATATTATGCAAATAATGTATCCATGTCTTATCTTGACATATAGCACGCTATGAAACGTCTTAATACTAAAATTGAAATTGTCACATGCATATCAGACACTTTACTATGAACTATTAAACTTGACTTTAAAATCCCTCCCTTTCAGTAACAGCCAGTATTTTTTCGTCGAATTTGCATCTGCCGATATGGCAGCACGTGCTTGCATCGCGTTTGACGGCTATAAGGTACGAGGTAAAAGTATCCATGTCAGTTTCGCATCCCACACCAATCCTGATGTGATGGAGCAAGCTTTGAAAGACTTAGTGGAAGGGGTCAGAGCCAAGTATAAATGGGCTGACAAGAAGAAGGATAAAGGTAATGGGTTTGTGCCATTCTGAGCAATGCCACAGATTTTTGACTAACAGTCTGTTAAAGAAATCACAAAGATTGGAATACTAATATTTGTTTTACATTTTGACACGTTATCGTGCTGTGAGTTTTTACATGCTTATTATTTTTTTTCTTAATTAGTTTTTTTTCTGTGTTCTCCGTCTTCTTCACTTGATGCCTTTCTGTGAGAAAAAGGTGGTTGTGAAAATTGCTTTTTGAAAGCAGTTGTACATGTTTTAATTCAAGTCTCTTTTGTTCCAGATGGGCAAATGACCAATAAAAATACCCCATCTGTGACAGATCCACTGCAAGGCCCAACCTATCAGAATGGAGATTCTGCCACACCAAGTTTGTTCAGCATGACAGTCGATCACGTTTCGTCTTTGTTACGAGACCTTTCCCTCATACAGCACGTCCCAGTGTTCCGTAGCTATGGCGTAGACGGAGAGATGCTCAACTCCATGACGGAGCCTGGCTTAGACATGTTGGGCATGATCAACCCACTGGAGAAGGCCAAGTTGTTGGGGAGGGTGGAGAAGATGAAAAGGTTGGTGTTGAAGTAGTGGTGTGAAGTCTGAGGAAGCCATGGCTCTTTTCTCATTGAGTGGTATACTTAACTGATGCAGTCTGTACCAGTTCGCTTTTTAAAAAGGAAAGCTTGATATCCTGGCTGTTGTGTCAGAGAGTCGCCTTAGTGGAGCCCCAGTGCCCAACCTTGGCAATTAAGAAGCAAAGTTGTGAAAGGGAACAGAAAACCATTGTTGCAAAGTAACATGTTATGACCTCTGGAAGGGAATTGCTACAGAAATTGATATATCACTATAAGTATACTGCTGGGTGTAAAAAAAGGCCAAAGCGTAATAATTCAGCCCCCCCCCCCCCCCCCCCCCCCCCCCCATTTCACCTCAGAGAGTCGCTGGATATATTGAACTTCACTAAAAAAACATGGTTTTCTCTTAGTCTACAAGCTGATTTTATCTAGACTAAATTTCGATTTCTTTTTTCCCTGGGAAAAACTATGAATGTGAGAGAAAGTCTAATTATGATAACAATTAAAACAAAGTCAGATCATTATTGCAATATGTTTCTATTTAGTTTAAAATATTCCAACATTTTTACTAAATAGGTTTAAGTGATAATTGATTTTAATAATGTGTCATTTTTTAAGAGAAACTAAAATAGCTAATTAATGATATTGTCATTTTCTGTGCATAAGTTGTATTTTATGTCTAAAAAATTTGCTGATTGATCAATAATCTATGGAATCATTTTTTTTTTTCATTTTTACAATGTTTTTTCCAGGTACTCAAAGTGACACTCCCAATATTGAGAAGAAAACAGCTGAATAGACTTGCACTTTTTCCATCTATGATCACGTTATTGATTTGTTATTCAAAGCAAAATGGTGCTTATTGTTGACATCTTGATGATAAGGAGTGGGTGGGAGGAAAAGACATTGGTCATTAACTTTTTACATCAGCAAAACAGGCCAACCCATCTACCAGACTTGGCAATGATGGATCCAAAATTCACCAGTAGATTGGATCACGATGCCCATTTTCAAGGTGTGTAACAGTACATGCTTTGAAGTATCAGATTTGGCACCCTCTTGCCTGGTACTCATGACACCTCGAAGCATGTATTGATACACACCTTGAAAACCAGTGTAGCGTGTTCCGATCTACGATGTATTCTGCATCCTTCCGTGCCACGTCTGGTAGTTGGGTAGACCTGCAAGAGTAACAGAGAGCCTCAAGGCTATGCTGTGGTATTATGCATTAGGTTGAAGACTGAATACCTTACCTCCTGTGAATATGCAGTGACTAATACTGGTGTGGCTACTCCTACAGATGCAATGCTATCAGCAGAATGTGAAATAGATATAAAGATGCTCTAAGGCCAGTTAACTTCAATTACTTAATTCAGACTTTCAGTGCTGTTCCTGTGCTGTAACTCATTATTGATAGTTCTTTTGTTTTTATTATTCTTTTTATTTCCTAAGAACAGCATTTGACTTCTGTTTTTTTCTTCTTCTTAATTTTTTGCGTGTAGTATTTCATGCTTTTTCTCAGAATTTCATCGATGATTTGAATTTCATACAGTAAGGCAAGTGTCTTAATTTGTAAAAGAAATTTAAATTGTGTAAAAGAGTATAGTTCTATTTCTTTACGGCAATTTTTTAGGAAAAAAGTGATATCCCTTTAAAACACAGTCAAGTTAAACTAGTTTTCCCATGCCCATTAGAAACACTCAAGTTTCGCACAAGTCATTAAAATTGAAAGTAGTTCTGTAAAGAAGTATATTTTATCACTTGCTATGTCGTAAAAAGGTGGCTGTGTCACATTGTTTTCTTGTAATTTAACTCGAAGGTTATAGTGGACCACCCTTCTTTATTTTCTGTAAAACTATGAGATTGTTATTTTTTAGGTACTTGTTTCAGTTGTTACACGCGATGTTCAGATAACGTAGTGCCTTCTTTAAATACTGCGAAGAGTTTTTACCAAAAATAATTCAGTTGCAATAATGTCTTTAACTAGTTTCATATCGTTCAGTGGCATTGTTTTATTGGTATTTACACACCTTTTAAGGTATTTAAATTTTTTCCAACGATACAAATTGCATCTTCAAAATAGAGAAGTTTGAGTTGGATAACTTACGGGTTTTTTAAATAATTGGTTGAATTAGACATATGGAGCATAAGTCGTTTCTCATTTGGTTTTCATATTGAAGAGTCTATATGAAATTCGTCAGCACATTTTGTATAATGCGTAAGTCACAATTTGGTGCTAAGTTTTTTATTTTTCAAAGTTACAAAGGATGTTTAAATATTTGCAGCCTGGGAGGTTTCAAAAGCATAATCCATAGATTTTTGTATTGACGACTCTGTTTGAGTAATACATTTACAAAATTAGTTTCATTAGCAACTTGTTGTTTAATATTTCAAGGGCAAAAATGTTGAGGTTCGCTCTGTAATTTCATTGAACTTTGTTGGTCATTGGAAATGTGGTTGTCTTCTAAGGGGAATTGATATGAACAAAGATTTTCTCTTATTTTTCTTCACTTGCTTTTCAGCTTATACAATCAATGCTGCATTATGTATTAACATGAATAATACTGGCTGAGTTTAATGTTTAATGTTACAGAGCTTATCTCCCTTTTTTGTAGACTGATTTCTTTTACATGCAGTATCTTCTTTAACCAAAGTTAGTTAATATGATCAGTTTCAGTTTGGCTCACAAATATTCTACCTACAAATTTTTAACAGGACATGTTTAGTTGCACTTTGCATCACCTTTGTCCAAAAAGATAACTCTGATAACAGGCTTGCTTTCCAAAGATTTTGCCCCGAATGCCCTTAGAGAGTCTACTCACTCTGTAGTGGAGGTTAGCCATTTCTGTTAGGCTGACAGTGACGGCAAACATAGTCTGTGTACAGGAAACCCAGGTCAGGGCAGTCACTGTAATATCAGACAGTGCAGCTATTTGATCAGTTAAATAAGTTTTCATGTATAATCATATTTGTTTAGATCTGCTAAATGTGTAATGTACATTTGTCTTCTCTGTTATTCTTATTGTTTGTTTTTTTTTTCTTCTTTTTTTGAAACTTGGCAGGTAGATTGTATTTTTGCCTTTACGTACCATACAATTAGACATGTAGTTAGTCTGTAGAGGTATAGAAAAGTTATTTTGCAACACATACTAGTACTAGGTCTCATCTGTTCTACGTTGTATTTCTCCAGTTTATCGTTAAATTCGTTAAACTTGTTGTTCAATTACTCTTCAGCATTCTTGCTTGTGCATTGTTGTAGTTCTGAACCAAAGGAAAAACGAAATATAATTTTCCTATTAAAATTGATGTTTTTAATTTATTCTGATTATCTCGAGTAACCTTGAGCCTCTAGATGAACAAATGACGTGCATATTGAATCACTTAATTTTGTGGCATGACCGATTTGGCAGAGCACAGTAACCAAAGGGAAAAACATTGTACCCCCCCCCCCCTTTAACTTGCTCCTTAAGCCTAAACCAGTTTGTTGCACCTCTTGTTGAGATCACTGCATGTACTACTTGCAATTTCTATCTCAGGCCTATAACCAGCAATTCCTTTAGGGAGGGGTGGGTGAGAAAAAAAAGGAACTTTCATCATGAAACCTTCATGTACTTGGGACATATTTTTACCTCGAGTCCACATTTTTCTGGTTAAAATAGCAATTCATTTCACCTCCTCCGGCTATGGATGTGCCTGAGGAGAGCTTGCCACCAGAGCGCTAAATCCCCAAGTTGAATTTTAATCAATTCTTCTGTTCATCATAATGGCTCAGTTCTTATTTTAAGAAACGAGTTCAGTTATACTAAACCAATTATTTTGATACATATTTTAATCTATGGCTTGTAATAAAATTAGCCTATATTTGATTTTTGAGCAAGAACTAGGTGGGAGAACAGCTTGGTGCACCATGATTCTACCCTAGGTTCTAGATTCTGGTATTGTCAGCTCGATCTTGATTTCATATATAACCCATATCAACAATACCAGTTCGTAAAAGCGACTCCATCACAAGGTATATATTTACAAGCTAGCTTTTACGTTTCTCTGACACTCAGGGTACATGATTCCAGACTATTGCTCCAAATACTTGATATGAGGAAATGAAATACATTGAGCTTTTCAAGAATGTAGTTTTACTTAAATAAAATGCAATGTATGATGAGAAACATGATGATGGTGATGATAAATGATGAGAAAAATAATCTACTGAAAATGTGTCCTATTTATCGACAAAATGCCATCTCCTCAGAGTCACAGTAATGGAAGATATTTTCTAAATAACACTGATGACCCCTTACATACAGGTAATGGTACATATATGTAATATAATGAGCAGTTCCACTTTCTGTCACCTGTTGCTCAATAGATGGAGCATGAGAAGATGGCACACTTCATTCAAAGAAAAATCTGCCACTGAAACACTGGTGCTTCTATTTGTCTTATTCAAAAGTCCTTGTACTGACTTCCATTTCTCAGTTCCACTTGTTATTCTAGATCTTCAATAACAGCATATCACTTCAACCAAAACAATAAGACAAAGATGAAATCCATTGTCTTGTTTTCTCTGCAGTATTTGTGGAGGTTTAAACCATTTTTAACTATTATCTAATGTTCAATATCTTTACTGTAATGTTGGCAATTTAACAGTGGGGAATATGCCACTCATTTTCAGTTGCTTCGAATTCGTAATGTGCATCTTACAGAGTTTTATCTCTTGCTCCCTCTCTTTATTAGAAAAATGTGGTCTTATTTTGAAAAAAAATTGCATTAAGCTGCACTGCTGAAAATGTCAGTCTCTGAATGAGTTCACATTACTTGCTTTGGTTGCTGTGTTGGTAAAAGTCCAAAACGTTTCTTGATGGTAATCCTCTGCCTGGAGTACTTATCATCGGGAGAAAACCTGGCGGGGTGAGCCGACTGTGTGGGTTTATCATAGGGGTCTATTTTCTGAAAATTAAAAGAATATTTTGTTGCATTGTGTACATCATTTAGGTCTACTTAGGACTGTTTGAAATCTTAATTTAAATAATAAGCACTTTCATCCAGACCTGGTATAACTTATGGTACCATGTCTTACTAAAAAATAAACTGAATACTGATAGTGATACAATTGTGAAATACTGGTATATAAATTGCTACAATAAAGAACTGGCACTGTAAGTAAAAGCAACCTGCACAATATCACACGACTCAAGACTTAAAAATGGCGACATTAAATTTAATTTGGATCTGGCATTTTTAGCATCAAAGACACTGGGAAATCGTTTGATCTCAAAATGTCTTCATCATATTAAGAATCCAAATTCGATGTCAAACCTTCAGAGTATACACTCTTTCCCCGTCCTCGTTTAAATAAAACATCATAAACATGTTGCGGCCTTTTCTACTACACCACTGCGACTACACGTGTTGCTGTAGCTAAAGATGGCCGACTCTTTGTACTCTCCAAACGCTATATGTTTTTGACCTATTTAATACTGAATAGGGGAAATGAATTATTTGAAAAGTCGTTAATAATACGTTTTACATAATTATTATATACTTAAACTTATATCTGACGCTTAATTAGGTAATTTTAAGAATTTAATATTACATATTGCACCTCAAATCCGAGTAAAAAGTATTCCCTTATACCTTCAACTGCGCCCGGATAGCTCAGTCGGTAGAGCATCAGACTTTTAAGCATGATCGAGTCATCTGAGGGTCCAGGGTTCGAGTCCCTGTTCGGGCGTTAAGTTTTTCGTTTTCTCATTTTACCTTTTGTTTTGACATTGTATTATCTTTCCTGACAAAACAGTGTCATTACCTTAAGATGATCAATGGATTAAAACATCTTTATTGAGAATTTAATATTCGTACGCGATACACACTTATTGACCTAACCCCCTTTTTCCGATCATTTCAAAATTAACAACATTTAATTCTTAATAATTGTTTCGCTTACCATTTATCAGGCTTAAAGAACAGTCGTAGTTTGATAGCAACATAATTGAAATATGAAATATCCATGGACTAACGCCTAACCTCTTAAACCTATTTTAATTACGTAGGCGTATGTGTGCAAACGATCTTCGTTAATTAGTAAGGGATTTAAGGGCCTTCAAGTCGTTTATCTCTCTAATGCAGCCTATACTGGCAGTGCATCAGGCAAATGTGTCTTGTTCCGATTATTGTCTTGTAAAAAAAAACAAACTCTTTACAGGCAATACTTTTCAGATTGGATATCGATATACTTAGGCTACACTTCACCTTCGCGAAGAAGGAAACTAGAATATTGTGAAAAACGTGTAGGATAGGATAGTTTGCATTTGACGAATCAAACGTTTTATTTGTACAAAATTTCGCTAACTGCATTTTAATACCAAGTGGACGAAGTCGAAGAAAGCGTTTTATTCACCCAAGAGTTCGATAACTGTAGCGCCAAAACCCCATACGCACTTTCACGGCAGTAGGCTATGTAGGCCTACATAGACCTATATATGCAGACTTCAGTGTGGACGGCAGGCTGTGCCTTTGGCATTGGTGAATCGATCGACCGATTTATACAGCAACCATGCATAAGAGGGCTTGAATGTAAACAAACGCTCACAATAGAAGTCACATTGTTCCATCCGCCATATTGCGGATTTTGCAATCTGGTCTAGATGACAGAGCCAACTTTATGGAGTGTGTTGTGCCGCAGTAATACACTGTTATCTGTGTCAATTTCGAGTTCTTTTTTCTTCCTCAGTCGATGAAATGACGCTGGTAGCGAATAAAGATACGTGGCTCATATAACCGCATACAGGTGAGTTGTACAGGTAAAGAAGGGTCGAATTACCTTGTGATGATTCAAGTTGAGTACGGTGCTTAGAACGTCGTCGACGTTTTAAGTCATGAGTCCATAATCACGAGCAGATATAAATGTAGCCTATATAGTTTAACCCGCGAGTACCAACCTAAGACTTAATAACTAAGTCCTCGTACCAACATATCGCCCTCGGTGACATTCGACTTTTGAGTGGATCTCCTTTCTGAACTATAATTTTGTATCAGACAACCGAAGAACATTTGGGACATTTTGATGAAGGTTTAGTTCTTCTCAGAACGGAAAACTACAAACCATGTTAGACTATTAAAAAGGTTCAACATGGCCTCTTATCAGTGGTTGTAGACGTTATTATTTCTATAATTCTAAAATAATAACAGACAGAAAGATGACATGAATCAGAACGGAGTCACAAGGGTGCTACGCATTGAACCGTTAGGATTTTTCGGCAGAAGGCAGATAATGAACACCGGTTTTTCACCCGAGTCATTATGCCGTAAGCACAGTCCCATTCAATCGACGTGGTTACCGCAGAACAACGTTACTATGATATACACCTTAAGAAAGTAGCCTGAATAGCAACCAGGACTAAACCATTTAGTCCATGAGCCAAATTGANACAAATACAAGAAGTAATCCGCAGAGTGATTACCATATACAGTTTGATATACATTATATAATGTCTAGACTAAAGCAGGGAAAGTACATGTACTAGAGGTAACTTGACACGATGAAGATAGGCTATAGTGAAGAGGTTAGTGTCAAGTTATCTCTGAAGCTCAGGGTGCATAGTTACCAATGGTTAAGGAATCCATTCCGACATTCAAAGTTAGTCCCTGGTTTTTCTCTAAAAAGTTTTTTTTTTGTAATATTCTCTTAAGAGATGTCGTGATCGCGTGGTGTGATGGCAAGCACAAATTCCAGAATAACTGCCTTAACCGCCGTTTTGGTGGTAAAATAGAATTTATTATATTTCTATGAGTTGTTGACAATGCATTTATTGTGAAATATAGATATCATACGAACAGTTGTTATCCCTTTAAAGCACACACGATACAATAATTTTGTAACAGACTACTGGCGGGCCTTGCGGTCAGATTGTAAACTAGCACTCGGGTTGACTGCAGATGTCCAGCCGTCTGGCCGGCACCAACAAGCGAGGGGATTACACAACGCACGGTAAGGAGGAAGGGAACAACTGCCAATCAATTGCCTTACTGTCCAATGGGGTCATTAGTTTAAGCCATGTGACATAAACACGAACAAGGATGGAGAGCAGCGTATTTCCAGTGTTCGAAGTAGAAGGAAGCAAAGACAGTGCGGTGAGAGAGAAAGTGAGGTATACAGGCAAAAGGCAGAGTCAAAAGACAAGGAATTCAGGTAGGATTTTTTTTTACAAAATCTTTCACTTCTTCCCTTCCCTCAACTTCATTTAATCTTCCATCTCTATTTCTGTTTCCATCAGGAAGTATTCACTCGGTGGCGCTTAACTTTCTCCACCTTGAATAATTGTTTCCGTTCGGTTCCTCAAAGCCAAAGCTAAAATAGGGTGCCACCCGTTTACGCCATACTAAATCACATAAGCATCAGAACTAGCATACGGTGTATATATGAAATATTTTGTCACTGCGTGCACATTTTAAATCTTTCGGCGATACACGCAATTTCAGATTTGGCCTAAAGGAAACACAGGACACACTATTTTCGCCATTTGGTTGCTCATTATCAATGATAAATTATGATAATCTCTTCTTAATGAATGGCTGTCAAAGAAAAGAGTTTGTTTTGCACTTTTAAGTAATAAGATTAGGAAACTCGCCTGTAATAAATGACTGCTCCGCCTCGCTGGAGATGCTGACTAGGTTGGACTGATCACGCACACAATATCTGTGGGCATCTTCCCATGATAGTGGATGGGTCTCAACCTTGTAGCAGTGGTTGCTGTACTCCCGCCAGCCGGGGGGACATAATGTGGCGTCTACAATAGATATATAGATAGATAAATGGTAACAAAGATAAATATGTATAAATTAAAAAGTTTGGTAATCAGTAAAGAATTAAATTAGTACTCTTACGGAAGTATTTAACTGAACAACTCACCGAATTAAAAAATTCAGTGTTGAGCACGTTATCTCTAATATCACGTCCTTGTTTCTCTTAAATAATATTCGGATTTTAACTTACCGAAAGTTTCATATTTCAAACGGACACCAGTGTTATTCTGTGACTTAGTTTTAAATTTGATGTATAGATAGCGCCCCGTACTGATGAAGGTAGACGGACTCCGGTCCCCACACCACGTGACTATTACGTCACCACTTGCCGTATCTCCTGGAAAGTCAAGTGAAAAGATGCTTACACTCACTGGTATTTCAAATGAATTGGATAAATTTATCTTTTAACCAGATAAAAACCCCAAGCTTCGTTTTATAAACCGCGAAAGAGACGCTGGGATCGTGATGACAGGTAACGACTTACGCTGCACGTGGCACCCTTCTGTAAGTGCTGTGCAGTGAAATAGTGGACCTATCGATTTTACAAAGACATGCAGTTTTGATTGACTGTTGCGTTCTCACTTTAGGAATCGCATCATTGCCGATCATTTATTTAGTTGCAGCTGAGGAAGGGTCTGCCCTTCAATATTCAGGCAGCTTAAATCTGAGATAGAACTACTCGGGCGGTGTACATGTAACACTACGAAATGAATTAATATGGTATATACAGGTAAGTTAGAATCGGCTATAAATGAACGTAGACATGAAATTTGTCCATGCAGAGAGAGAAAATAAAGTTATTAAATTAAACAACAGAAAAACAAGGAAATCAAGATATTGTAATGTCAAACCTTCCTGTTCTTTACCGCGCTTTCATCGTGCTACAATCAATAAGCTTACTGCCAATAATTGAAAGAGGAAATAAAATCACTAGGGAATTCCCCAGTACTAGTGTTAATGCATATGAAGATCTATACTGGGTTGAAGTTTAATTACTTGTTCTCGTGCTAAAACATTTCGCTGTAATATTCTATTGATTATTTGGACTATAATTTCTCGGTAATTGACATGGTTTCTTTGAGTTTTCTGAAGGAAACTCTCTAACTGCCGAAAGTGTGGCTTATCAATCTTTCATCGGATGAGGTTCATGCTCATTTTCTCTCCGTCACACACACGCACACACACGCACACTGCTTGAATTTCACCATTTTAAACTTTCCTCTCTTAAGACACATAGAGAACTGCGGGCGAAAGATATTTAGTCCCCTTTTCTTTTGATGTGTCATATACACCTGTCAATTAAAACTCCGGTCCTAAATACTGATTTAATATACTGGTCTTAATACTGACCATTTCGAACCTCCATGTGATCATACTGGGTGCATGTCGCGTCGTTCGGCGTCCACTGTAAACTGGAGCTGAGTACAGTGACCAGCACGCGCCCTCCCTCTCCAGCGTCCAGTACCCACGTGCAGTCCATGCCACTCTGGTAGTACGCTTGTCCCTCCATGTTGGATGAAATGTCACCTTTGAAGTTTGTGATGCGGTTCACCCCGCCGTTGATACAATAGGAGTAATTTTGTGCCTCTGAAATGTATATTAGACCATTTTTATGAGATATATAAATATGAGATATATATATAAATGACAAACTATTTCTTCAACACCTCTATTTCGCCATTCTCTCTCTGTGTTTCTATCTCTGTCGCTCTCTCAAACACACGCACGCACGCGCGCACACACGTTAACACACACACACACACACACACACACACTAATCCAAATATTTTACTGTGACTTATATTACATAGACGCATCGGTTCCTACCTGCCAATTTTGCTACTGACATTATCAATGTAACTGTGAACCAAGAGACCTTCCATACGGCTCTATATTCCGAGACCATTTCCGTCTTGAGTCGTGTAGAAACAACCAACTTTCTCTCGTAGGGCGACAAGACTGAAGAAAAAGAAAAAATGTAAAAAACATAAAAAGATAATTCTTACAAGAGAAAGGGAAGACGTGTGTAATTCTTACCTTAATGCGTCACAATAGTTCGTTTTCACATTTCTAGGTATATCTGTCTGATATATTATCTGAAGCTATTCATATAAAGGCCCAATGGACGATGATAATTAATGTCGATATTATATGAATAACATTGCTTTACGCTGAACAAGGAGTGCTGTAATTCGTATGACTTAAATTCGTCACAGAACAAAAAATCCTTTTCTCTGTTAATATAAATCAAAACCATTGTTGTTCTGAAGTTTTACTTATAATTCAATAAGTCAATGAGGATGGGAAGTAGAAATTCCAGTACAAAACTATTACAAGGAAGTGCACGGTCCAAGGATAGTTTCACTTCATGACGGTTCTTATCTAAAGCTCGAAATCTGTAATTAGTCCATGAGCCAAATGCCAAAAAATCCAATTTGGCTGCACCCCCCGTCAGGCAAAGGTTTTATGATTGATTCTTGTAGTTTAGAACCTGAATTTTTCATTTCTGCTTGTTTCCGGATTGAAAAAGTGTCCGTTTGTACCGGAAACAGGCCAAATCCAAGATGGCCGCCAGTAAATTAATGTGTCAACTGTAAATACAAAAATTTATTTAAAAGTTACTTAACAACTTAATATTATCAAAATTTGCACTGATCACTAGTACTTTGGCCTTCTTTGATTTTTCAGGCACTTTACATTTTTCAAGATGGCGACTGAATCCAAGATGGCGGCCATTTTCCTTACTTTTTGTGAAAAAATACAAATAACNTATTTTATGTCTAAAAAATTTGCTGATTGATCAATAATCTATGGAATCAATTTTTTTTTCATTTTTTTTCCAGGTACTCAAAGTGACACTCGCAATATTGAGAAGAAAACAGCTGAATAGACTTGCACTTTTTCCATCTACGATCACGTTATTGATTTATTATTCAAAGCAAAATGGTGCTTATTGTTGACATCTTGATGATAAGGAGTGGGTGGGAGAAAAAGACATTGGTCATTAACTTTTTACATCAGCAGAACAGGCCTACCCATCTACCAGACCCGGCACTGAAGGATCCAAAATTTGCCGGTAGATCGGATCATGCTACCCGTTTTCAAGGTGTGTATCATGCTTCAAAGTATCAGACGCAGCACCCCTCTTGCTTGGTACTCATGATACTTCGAAGCGTGTATTGATACACACCTTGAAAACCAGTGTAGCGTGTTCCGATCTACGGTGTATTCTGCATCCTTCCATGCCACGTCTGGTAGTTGGGTAGACCTGCAGGAGTAACAGAGAGCCTCAAGTCTATGCTGTGGTATTATGCATTAGGTTGAAGACTGAATACCTTACCTCCTGTAAATATGCAGTGACTAATACTGGTGTGGCTACTCCTACAGATGCAATGCTATCAGCAGAATGTGAAATAGATATAAAGATGCTCTAAGGCCAGTTAACTTCAATTACTTAATTCAGACTTTCAGTGCTGTTCCTTTGCTGTAACTCATTATTGATAGTTCTTTTGTTTTTATTATTCTTTTTTTTTCCTAAGAACAGCATTTGACTTCTGTTTTTTTTTTCTTCTTCATTTTTTGCGTGTAGTATTTCATGCTTTTTCTCAGAATTTCATCGATGATTTGAATTTCATACAGTAAGGCAAGTGTCTTAATTTGTAAAAGAAATTTAAATTGTGTAAAAGAGTATAGTTCTATTTCTTTACGGCAATTTTTTAGGAAAAAAGTGATATCCCTTTAAAACACAGTCAAGTTAAACTAGTTTTCCCATGTCCATTAGAAACACTCCAAGTTTCGCACAAGTCATTAAAATTGAAAGTAATTCTGTAAAGAAGTATATTTTATTACTTGCTATGTCGTAAAAAGGTGGCTGTGTCACATTGTTTTCTTGTAATTTAACTCGAAGGTTATAGTGGACCACCCTTCTTCATTTTCTGTAAAACTATGAGATTGTTATTTTTTAGGTACTTGTTTCAGTTGTTACACGCGATGTTCAGATAACGTAGTGCCTTCTTTAAATACTGCAAAGAGTTTTTACCAAAAATAATTCAGTTGCAATATTGTCCTTAACTAATTTCATATCGTTCAGTGGCATTGTTTTATTGGTATTTACACACCTTTTAAGGTATTTAAGTTTTTTCCAACGTTACAAATTGCATCTTCAAAATAGAGAAGTTTGAGTTGGATAACTTACGGGTTTTTTAAATAATTGGTTGAATAAGTCATATGGAGCATAACTCGTTTCTCATTTGGTTTTCATATTGAAGAGTCTACATGAAATTCGTCAGCACATTTTGTATAATGCGTAAGTCACAATTTGGTGCTAAGATTTTTATTTTTCAAAGTTACAAAGGATGTTCAAATATTTGCAGCCTGGGAGGCTTCAAAAGCATAATCCATAGATTTTTGTATTGAAGACTCTGTTTAAGTAATACATTTACAAAATGAGTTTCATTAGCAACTTGTTGTTTAATATTTCAAGGGCAAAAATGTTGAGGCTCGCTCTGTAATTTCATTAACTTTGTTGGTCATTGGAAAAGTGGTTGTCTTCTAAGGGGAATTGATATGAACAAAGATTTTCTCTCATTTTTCTTCCCTTGCTTTTCAGCTTATACAATCAATGCTGCATTATGTATTAACATGAATAATACTGGCCGAGTTTAATGTTGAATGTTACAGAGCTGATCTCCCTTTTTTGAAGACTAATTCTTTTTACATGCAGTATCTTCTTTAACTAAAGTTAGTTAATATGATCAGTTTCAGTTTGAGTCATAAATATTCTACCTACAAATATTTAACAGGACATGTCTAGTTGCACTTTGCATCACCTTTGTCCAAAAAGATAACTCTGATAACAGGCTTGCTTTCCGAAGATTTTGCCCCGAATGCCCTCAGAGTCTCCTCACTCTGTAGTGGAGGTTAGCCATTTCTGTTAGGCTGACAGTGACGGCAAACACAGTCTGTGTACAGGAAACCCAGGCTAGGGCAGTCACTATAATATCAGACAGTGCAGCTATTTGATCAGTTAAATAAGTTTTCATGTATAATCATATTTGTTTAGATCTGCTAAATGTGTAATGTACATTTGTCTTCTCTGTTATTCTTATTGTTTTTTTTTTTTTCTTTTTTTTTTTGAAACTTGGCAGGTAGATTGTATTTTTGCCTTTACGTACCATACAATTAGACATGTAGTTAGTCTGTAGAGGTATAGAAAAGTTATTTTGCAACACATACTAGTACTAGGTCTCATCTGTTCTACGTTGTATTTCTCCAGTTTATCGTTAAATTCGTTAAACTTGTTGTTCAATTACTCTTCAGCATTCTTGCTTGTGCATTGTTGTAGTTCTGAACCAAAGGAAAAAAGAAATATAATTTTCCTATTAAAATTGATGTTTTTAATTTATTCTGATTATCTCGAGTAACCTTGAGCCTCTAGATGAACAAATGACGTGCATATTGAATCACTTAATTTTGTGGCATGACCGATTTGGCAGAGCACAGTAACTAAAGGGAAAAACATTGTACCCCCCCCCCCCCCTTACTTGCTCCTCAAGCCTAAACCAGTTTGTTGCACCTCAACTGCATTCCCTGAAGCCTAGGTCCCAACTGCGTTTTGGACGCACGGTTTTAGGTTCCTTGCCTCTGGCTAGGAAGTAGCTAGATAGCACATAGCAGCTGTTGATCATGTCGAAAAGTTTCTACGTGCTGTTTACGTCCTCCAAAAGTCGCACGGTGGACGTGCTCCTCACGCACAAACTCCCACGTTGTCCCCATTTTTTTGGCTGTAGACCACATGTAGCAGCTCGTACGTCCGGTTGGGACCTAGGCTTAACAGAGGTCACTGCATATACTACTTGCAATTTCTATCTCAGGCCTATAACCAGCAATTCCCTTAGGGAGGGGTGGGGGGGTCAGAAAAAAAGGAACTTTCATCATGAAACCTTCATGCAATTGGGACATATTTTTACCTAGAGTCCACATCTTTCTGGTTAAAATAGCAATTCATTTCACCTCCCCCAGCTATGGGTGTGCCTGAGGAGAGCTTGCCACCAGAGCGCCAAATCCCCAAGTTGAATTTTAATCAATTCTTTTGTTCATAATGGCTCAGTTCTTATTTTAAGAAACAAGTTCAGTTATACTATACCAATTATTTTGATACATATTTTAATTTATGGCTAGTAATAAAATTGGCCTATATTTGATGTTTGAGCAAGAACTAGGTGGGAGAATAGCTTGGTGCACCATGATTCTAGACTATTGCTCCAAATACTTGATATGAGGAACTGAAAAACAATGAGCTTTTCAAGAATGTAGTTTTACTTTAATTAAAATGCAATGTATGATGAGAAACATGATGGTGATAAAATGAGAAAAATAATCTACTGAAAATGCGTCCTATTAATCTACAAAATGCCATCTCCTCAGAGTCCTCTGTTACTTCACAGTAATGGAAGATATTTTCTAAAGAACACTGATGACCCCTTACATACAGGAAATGGTACATATATGTAATATAATGAGCAGTTCCACTTTCTGTCACCCGTTGCTCAATAGATGGAGCATGCGAAGATGGCACACTTCACTCAAAAAGAAGAATCTGCCACTGGTGCTTCTATTTGTCCTATTCAAAAGTCCTTGTACCGACTTCCATTTCTCAATTCCACTCGTTATTCTAGATCTTCATTAACAGCATATCACTTCAACCAAAACAATAAGTCAAAGATGAAATCCATTGTCTTGTTTTCTCTGCAGTATTTGTGGAGGTTTAAACCATTTTTAACTATTATCTAATGTTCAATATCTTTACTGTAATGTTGGCAATTTAACAGTGGGGAATATGCCACTCATTTTCAGTTGCTTCGAATTCGTAATGTGCATCTTACAGAGTTTTTATCTCTTGCTCCCTCTCTTTATTAGAAAAATGTGGTCTAATTTTGAAAAAAAATTTGCATTAAGCTGCACTGCTGAAAATGTCAGTCTCTGAATGAGTTCACATCACTTGCTTTGGTTGCTGTGTTGGTAAAAGTCCAAAACGTTTCTTGATGGTAATCCTCTGCCTGGAGTACTTATCATCGGGAGAAAACTTGGCGGGGTGAGCCGACTGTGTGGGTTTACCATAGGGGTCTGTTTTCTGAAAATTAAAAGAATATTTTGTTGCATTGTGTACATCATTTAAGTCTAATTAGCAATGTTTTAATTTAAATAATTAGCACTTTCATCCAGACCTGGTATAACTTATGGTACCATGTCTTACTAAAAAATAAACTGAATACTGATAGTGATACAAATGTGAAATACTGGTATATAAATTGCTACAATAAAGAACTGGCACTGTGAGTAAAAGCAACCTGCACAATATCACACGACTCAAGACTTAAAAATGGCGACATTAAATTTAATTTGGATCTGGCATTTTTGGGGCCGTAGCGATAGTCCGAAGGTTCAATAGTCCGAAGGTTCATTGGTCCGAAGGTTCACTATAGAACCTTCGGACCAATGAACCCTTGATTAAAAAATCGATGAAAATGTTACCACTTTTCGGACCAATGAACCTTCGGACCAATGAACCTTCGGACTATCGAGACGCCCCCGCATTTTTAGCATCAAAGACACTGGGAAATCGTTTGATCTCAAAATGTCTTCATCATATTAAGAATCCAAATCCGATGTCAAACCTTCAGAGTATACACTCTTTCCCCGTCCTCGTTTAAATGAAACATCATAAACATGTTGCGGCCTTTTCTACTACACCACTACGACTACACGTGTTGCTGTAGCTAAAGATGGCCGACTCTTTGTACTCTCCAAACGCTAAATGTTTTTGACCTACTTAATACTGAATAGGGGAAATGAATTATTTGAAAAGTCGTTAATAATACGTTTTACATAATTATTATATACTTTAACTTGTATCTGACGCTTAATTAGGTAATTTTAAGAATTTAATATTGCATATTGCACCTCAAATCCGAGTAGAAAGTATTCCCTTTTATCCTCAACTGCGCCCGGATAGCTCAGTCGGTAGAGCATCAGACTTTTAAGCATGATCAAGTCATCTGAGGGTCCAGGGTTCGAGTCCCTGTTCGGGCGTTTAAGTTTTTCGTTTTCTCATTTTCCCTTTTGTTTTGACATTGTATCATCTTTCCTGACAAAACAGTGTCATTAGGGGCCTACCTTAAGATGATCAATGGATTAACACATCTTTATTGAGAATTTAATATTCGTACCCGATGCACACTTATTGACCTAACCCCCTTTATTTCCGATCATTTCAAAATTAACAACATTTAATTCTTAATAATTATTTCGCTTACCATTTATCAGGCTAAAGGAACAGTCGTAGTTTGATAGCAACATAATTGAAATATGAAATATCCATGGACTAACATCTAACCTTTTAACCTATTTTAATTACATAGGCCTATGTGTGGAAACGATCTTCGTTAATTAGTAAGGGGTTTGTGGGCCTTTAAGTCGTTTATATCTCTAATGCAGCCTATACTGGCAGTGCATCAGGCAAATGTGTCTTGTTCCTATTATTGTCTTGTAAAAAAACTCTTTACAGGCAATACTTTTCAGATTGGATATCGATATAATTACACTTCACCTTCGCGAGGAAGGAAACTAGAATATTGTAAAGAACGTGTAGGATAGGATAGTTTGCATTTGACGAATCAAACGTTTTATTTGTACAAAATTTCGCTAACTGCATTTTAATACCAAGTGGACGAAGTCGGAGAAAGCCTTTTATTCACCCAAGAGCTAGTTCGATAACTGTAGCGCCAAAACCCCATACGCACTTTCACGGCAGTATGTAGGCCTACATAGACCTATATATGCAGACTTCGGTGTGGACGGCAGGCTGTGCCTTTGGCATTGGTGAATCGATCGACCGATTTATACATCAACCATGCATAAGAGGGCTTGAATGTAAACAAACGCTCACAATAGAAGTCACATTGTTCCATCCGCCATATTGCGGATTTTGCAATCCGGTCTAGATGACAGAGCCAACTTCATGGAGTGTGTTGTGCCGCAGTAGTACACTGAATTATCTGTCAATTTCGAGTTCTTTTTTCTTCCTAAGTCGATGAAATGACGCTGGTGGTGAAGAAAGATACGTAGCTCATATAACCGCATACAGGTGAGTTGTACAGGTAAAGAAGGGTCGAATTACCTTGTGATGATTCTGATGATTCAAGTTGAGTACGGTGCTTAGAACGTCGTCGTTTTAAGTCATGAGTCCATAATCACGAGCAGATATAAATGTAGCCTATATATAGTTTAACCCGCGAGTACCTAAGACTTAATAACTAAGTCCTCGTACCAACATATCGCCCTCGGTGACATTCGACTTTTGAGTGGATCTCCTTTCTGAACTATAATTTTGTATCAGACAACCGAAGAACATTTGGGACATTTTGATGAAGGTTTAGTTCTTCTCAGAACGGACAACTACAAACCATGTTAGACTATTAAAAAGATTCAACCTGGCCTCTTATCAGTGGTTGTAGGCGTTATTATTTCTATAATTCTAAAATAATAACAGACAGAAAGATGACATGAATCAGAACGGAGTCACAAGGGTGCTACGCATTGAACCGTTAGGATTTTTCGGCAGAAGGCAGATAATGAACAGCGGTTTTTCACCCGAGTCATTATGCCGTAAGCACAGTCCCATTCAATCGACGTGGTTACCGCAGAACAACGTTACTATGTTATACACCTTAAGAAAGTAGCCTGAATAGCAACCAGGACTAAACCATTACAGATTTCGAGCTTTAGATAAGAACCGTCATGAAGTGGAACTATCCTTGGATCGTGCACTTCCTAGTAATAGTTTTGTACTGAAATTTCCACTTCCCATCCTCATTGACTTATTGAATTACAAGTAATACTTCAGAACAACAATGGTTTTGATTTATATTAACAAAAAAAAGGATTTTTTGTTCTGTGACGAATTTAAGTCATACGAATTACAGCACTCCTTGTTCAGCGTAAAGCAATGTTATTCATATAATATCGACATTAATTATCATCGTCCATTGGGCCTTTATATGAATAGCTTCAGATAATATATCAGACAGATATACCTAGAAATGTGAAAACAAACTATTGTAACGCATTAAGGTAAGAATTACACACGTCTCCCCTTTCTCTTGTAAGAATTATCTTTTTATGTTTTTTACATTTTTTCTTTTTCTTCAGTCTTGTCGCCCTACGAGAGAAAGATGGTTGTTTCTACACGACTCAAGACGGAAATGGTCTCGGAATATAGAGCCGTATGGAAGGTCTCTTGGTTCACAGTTACATTGATAATGTCAGTAGCAAAATTGGCAGGTAGGAACCGATGCGTATATGTAATTTAAGTCACAGTAAAATATTTGGATTAGTGTGTGTGTGTGTGTGTGTGTGTGTGTGTGTGTGTGTTAACGTGTGTGCGCGCGTGCGTGCTTGTGTTTGAGAGAGCGACAGAGATAGAAACACAGAGAGAGAATGGCGAAATAGAGGTGTTGAAGAAATAGTTTGTCATTTATATATATATATATATATATATATATATATATATATATATATGAGATATAGATATAGATAGATATATATATATATATCTCATATTTATATATCTCATAAAAATGGTCTTATATACATTTCAGAGGCACAAAATTACTCGTATTGTATCAACGGCGGGGTGAACCGCATTACAAACTTCAAAGGTGACATTTCGTCCAACATGGAGGGAAAAGCGTACTACCGGAGTGACATGGACTGCACGTGGGTACTGGACGCTGGAGAGGGAGGGCGCGTGCTGGTCACTGTCCTCAGCTCCAGTTTACAGTGGGCGCCGAACGACGCGACATGCACCCAGTATGACCACATGGAGGTTCGAAATGGTCAGTATTAAGACCAGTATATTAATTGAAATGGCCAGTATTAAGACCAGTATGTTAATTGAAATGGTCAGTATTTAGGACCGGGGTTTTAATTGACAGGTGTATAAAGACATCAAAAGAAAAGGAGACTTGTCAGCGATGTATCTTTCGCCCGAAGTTCTCTGTATGTGTCGAAAGAGTGGAAAGTTTGAAATGGTGAAATTCAAACAGTGTGTGTGTGTGTGTGTGTGTTTGTGCGTGCGTGCGTGCGTGTGTGCGTGTGACGGAGAGAAAATGAGCACGAGCCTCATCCGATGAAAGATTGATAAGCCACACTTTCGGCAGTTAGAGAGTTTCCTTCAGAAAACTCAAAGAAACCATATCAATTACCGAAAAATTATAGTCTAAATAATCAATAGAATATTACAGCGAAATGTTTTTGCACGAGAACAAGTAATAAACTTACACCCAGTATAGATCTTCATATCCATTAACACTAGTACTGGGGAATTCCCTAGTGATTTTATTTCCTCTTTCAATTATTGGCAGTAAGCCCATTGATTGTAGCACGATGAAAGCGCGGTAAAGAACAGGAAGGTTTGACATAATATCTTGACATCCTTATTTTTCTGTTGTTTAATTTAATAACTTTATTTTCTCTCTCTTCATGGAAAAATTTCATGTCTACGTTCATATATAGCCGATTCTAACTTACCTGTTTATACCATATTAATTCATTTCGTAGTGTTACATGTACACCGCCAGAGTAGTTCTATCTCAGATTTAAGCTACCTGAATATTGAAGGGCAGACCCTTCCTCAGCTGTAACTAAATAAATGATCGGCAATGATGCGATTCCTAAAGTGAGAACGCAACAGTCAATCAAAACTGCATGTCTTTGTAAAATCGATAGGTCCAATATTTCACTGTACAGCACTTACAGAAGGATGCCGCGTGCAGCGTAAGTCGTTACCTGTCATCACGATCCCAGCGTCTCTTTCGCGGTTTATAAAACAAAGCTTGGGGATTTTATCTGGTTAAGAGATAAATTTATCCAATTCATTTGAAATACCAGTGAGTGTAAGCATCTTTTCACTTGACTTTCCAGGAGATACGGCAAGTGGTGACGTAATAGTCACGTGGTGTGGGGACCGGAGTCCGTCTACCCTCATCAGTACGGGGCGCTATCTATACATCAAATTTAAAACTAAGTCACAGAATAACACTGGTGTCCGTTTGAAATATGAAACTTTCGGTAAGTTAAAATCCGAATATTATTTAAGAGAAACAAGGACATGATATTAGAGATAACGTGCTCAACACTTAATTTTTTAATTCGGTGAGTTGTTCAGTTAAATACTTCCGTAAGAGTACTAATTTAATTTTTTACTGATTACCAAACTTTTTAATTTATACATATTTATCTTTGTTACCATTTATCTATCTATATATCTATTGTAGACGCCACATTATGTCCCCCCGGCTGGCGGGAGTACAGAAACCACTGCTACAAGGTTGAGACCCATCCACTATCATGGGAAGATGCCCACAGATATTGTGTGCGTGATCAGTCCAACCTAGTCAGCATCTCCAGCGAGGCGGAGCAGTCATTTATTACAGGCGAGTTTCCTAATCTTATTACTTAAAAGTGCAAAACAAACTCTTTTTTTTGACAGCCATTCATTAAGAAGAGATTATTATAATTTATCATTGATAATGAGCAACCAAATGGCGAAAATAGTGTATCCTGTGTTTCCTTTAGGCCAAATCTGAAATTGCGTGTATCGCCGAAAGATTTAAAATGTGCACGCAGTGACAAAATATTTCATATATACACTGTATGCTAGTTCTGATGCTTATATGTGATTTAGTATGGCGTAAACGGGTGGCACCCTATTTTAGCTTTGGCTTTGAGGAACCGAACGGAAACAATTATTCAAGGTGGAGAAAGTTAAGCGCCACCGAGTGAATACTTCCTGATGGAAACAGAAATAGAGATGGAAGATTAAATGAAGTTGAGGGAAGGGAAGAAGTGAAAGATTTTGTAAAAAAAAATCCTACCTTAATTCCTTGTCTTTTGACTCTGCCTTTTGCCTGTATACCTCACTTTCTCTCTCACCGCACTGTCTTTGCTTCCTTCTACTTCGAACACTGGAAATACGCTGCTCTCCATCCTTGTTCGTGTTTATGTCACATGGCTTAAACTAATGACCCCATTGGACAGTAAGGCAATTGATTGGCAGTTGTTCCCTTTCTCCTTACCGTGCGTTGTGTAATCCCCTCGCTTGTTGGTGCCGGCCAGACGGCTGGACATATGCAGTCAACCCGAGTGCTAGTTTACAATCTGACCGCAAGGCCCGCCAGTAGTCTGTTACAAAATTATTGTATCGTGTGTGCTTTAAAGGGATAACAACTGTTCGTATGATATCTATATTTCACAATAAATGCATTGTCAACAACTCATAGAAATATAATAAATTCTATTTTACCACCAAAACGGCGGTTAAGGCAGTTATTCTGGAATTTGTGCTTGCCATCACACCACGCGATCACGACATCTCTTAAGAGAATATTACAAAAAAAACTTTTTAGAGAAAAACCAGGGACTAACTTTGAATGTCGGAATGGATTCCTTAACCATTGGTAACTATGGGAAATCCAGGAAAATCATTTTTTTTGTCAAAATGAACAGTGCTCATCCATTTAATTTTGCATACTATTTTTCAGGCCCCTGAAATCACAGGGTAATGCTGGTTATGTTGTGACTGGTTATGTTTATCCTATGCAAAAGATAAATTTGTTCACCCCCACCTCGCGCCGTTTCCCGCAAGGTTTCTAGTCTTGTACGATGTCGCGAAGCGCCGAAGTCCTCTTTTAGGCTTGGACATAAAAAGAATATTTAAACGAAGTGCATGAACCGCCCACCCTCACACATTCGTTTTATTCGTCCATGTTTAAGGGCTCATTTCAAATGCAACTATCGGTCTACGTAGATCGATCCAACTCTGCGGGGACTGTCGCTCTGAATGCATTCAGGTTCACTGAATGGCACGCCGCCTGGCGTTGAGTAGCATACAGAAAAGCTGGTGATTATAGAAGTAGGCCTAGGTTGAAAAAATAGGTGTGTTAATATGTTAAACTAATGGCATTCAGCGAGAATCCCGCTGAGTTGGATCGATCTATGAGGAACGATAGCTTCACTTGGAATGAGCCCTAAGACAAGTGCGTAAGTTAACGTTGGATACTTGCTTAAAAAGTGAATTAATATTTTCCTTACAGACGCTGTTAATAGCGTTACTGCCGGTACGGCGTTCTATGTCTGGATTGGTGTGCGATATGTCCAGCAGTCGTCTGATTGGCTGTGGATTGATAACTCTGTCTCTTACCTTCAGAGTGGGTATGTACACTACAGTAGTTCATCTAAATAGAATAGTGTCACTCAATCCACCACTAGTCACTCCTATTTCAATCCAAATTGAATATTACCCTAGACACAAACTCCATGAACCACTCTGATAGTAACTTTCTGATTTAAATAACTTAAATAGTATCAACATTTTATATGGTCAATAAGTACATTTGTGAAAGCATTTTATACATTTTTATTTCACTGTCCAAAGTTCCATATACGTTTCTCAATTTCAGTCAGAAAATGACGTGTAAATGTAAACTTATATAAATTTTATCAATTTATAAATGTAAAAATATAAATTTTGGTGTGTCTTCGTTTCTAGTTGGACCAAAAGTGGAACAACGTCTGGTTCGGGATGTGGGTGTATAAAACCAAGCACAAATTCTTGGATAAGCAAGCTTTGTACACTAGATAATATATCTGTATGCAAAATGAAAAAAGGTGAGGAAATTTTTCGCCATCTGAAATCAGTTATTTGGACAATGAAACAGTATTAATAACCAAGCAATTATATCATATAATTTGTCTGTGCAGGTGGTTGCGGTGTGCTGGTTGACTTTATTATTGCAGCAAAATATTTTGTTTTTCATACTGGGCATTCATTGGAATTAGAGACATAGGGGAACTTGCTGCATCGAAAAAGATCGAGTTTTATGGTTGATAATCATTATATTTCTTGATTTAGCTATCTTTAAGCTCGCATTTCGAGATCACACACGGAGTTTATAATCTCGAGATATTATTATTCACTCAGTGCTGGTGAACGTGTAAATAATTTATAATTTGAAAATGATAATTGTCTTGAAGTAAGTGGGAGTGAGGTTCCAAATTATGGAAAAGCGTTTGACAGAATTTTTAGCGTGATGGTTTACAAATTTTTTCTGTTTGATTCACAGGTGCAGCAACGCAAATTTTCACCATTCCTGCCGACAACCCAGTAAGAGGTAGGCCTACGCTTATATCTGCTTTTTTAGTGTGATAAGCTGATATGATGAAGAAAATCACATCTTTTTTCTTTTTGAAAAACCATCTTTCTTAATTTAATAATTCGAAACTATCCACTTTTCTTAAACGTTCGAACTCTGCTACAGAAAATTATTCTATAACCCTTTAAAGTAGGCCCCTACTGTATTAAATACATGTTTTTCTATGGCTTTATTCTAATAAACAGAGCTGCTATATTGTACTTCTTGGCAAGAAATATTGGATAATATTTGACTGGCATTGCTTTCTGTTTCAGATGAAGGGAGCTACTGGGAATTTATTGTAGTAGGCATCATCGTTATCATAACAGCATGCTTTATTGGCAATTTCATAAAAGCTAAATGCACTGGAAATGTCGAAACCTCGTCTGAGAATGACTCCGATGTAACGAGGAGCACGCAGGTCACGCAGCACCAAAGGCCGGCACCACAGCTGCAGATGACCCGGCTTAGAACTCGCCTCCAGAACTTGCAGGATCAAGCTCGAGCGCGATACACTCAAAATAACAATAGGGTCTCACATGCTGCCAACGAAGACACGCTGTATCAAAAAGACATCAGCGACATGCCAGAAACTGGTAATATAAGAGCAGGTGCCTTATCTCCTATTACGTCAACATTTCCATCCGCTCCACCGATGTATGACGACGAACCAAGGCAAGGAACCTTTCCCGTCAGAACAACAGCGGCACCTTTCGATGGGATTGAAGAACACTCGGGCACGCCCCCTCCGTCCTATGAAGAAGTATTTGGTAGTGAAGCGCACAGTAAATGAGGAGACAATCGTCTATGGATATAGTACTTTAAAATTTGTTTTATTTGGTTGGTAGGCCTACTGTTAGGCCCCACCACATCATACAGGAGATGAAAAAACACTTCATCTTGCCTATCCCCTCCACTATTATAAGACTGGAAGAGGGTTACTGTAAAACAGTTTAACCCCTTGCTCTATGGCCGCTTCATTTCTCGGGCTGATTTAACCTTCATAGTGATTTTTAAAAGAAACTCACTAAGGTGCATGTGAATGTTAGAGCAATAAGCAACTGAAAGGACACAGTCGTCCAAGTATTGATATATCTAGCTAGTTCTATGACAGTCTGCCATATTGGCATATTGGCACATAATATTCAGCAATAGGAGGGCGGAGACCTCTGCGATTTTGCTAGCAAGTGATGGTGTTAGGCCTACCCTCCCTCTTTGATTGTGTAGTCCTTTCAGACTAACGGCTCAATAAAATTGTGATATCGTTTTATATGCTATGAAAAATGTATGCTATTAATGAGACTTTGAGGAACACACAAAATGAAACGTGTTTGAAATCATTCTTGTCTTCGCGCACGTGCAAGTTACCGTTGTAAGTTCTTTAAAGTAAGGGATCGAATATGAATAAGGATAAAAAGCTAATTAAAATGATAAAACAACTACAAGCTGAGCATTTTAATAGCTTATAAATAATCTTTTTATACTTGGGTTTTATTTATGTAATTTTTGTGAAAATTTGAAAATATTCATGGCTTGTTGAAATGAGAAATATTCTTTGGAGGCAAGAAATCGTACATTGTTTATATTGTTGTCTGGATTAGAAAATTTAGATTCGCAAAAAGATTCAGCTTTAAAAACAAGAGACAAGAACTATATTTGGATTACCGTCAGTGTCAAAATACATGTAATTTGTCTTCATGTGTATTTGCATATACTTGTAAATGGGTGGTTAGGAATATATAAAAGTACCTAAGTCAATGCTTTGTTTCCATTAAAACTATGAATATCAAAGTTTAACAATAAACCGCATGCAGTGCAAAATTGCTGATTTGCCAGTAAAAGGGGGCTAGCTGTCATTTAAGATAACTAAAGTATGTTCTCAATTATAGACGCGTATAGGCCTACTTTTATGTGCAAATTCATCAAACTCTGTCATCTTAGAAGCGGTTTACGGTCGATAGTCCATTGATTGGAAACGTCAAACGTGGCCACACAAACATTAATTATTTGTATTTTCATTTATCCAAATATTTATAAATTACTGAATTAATTACTTTTATTCGTTCCTTCATTTATTTTACTCATTAAAGGCGCCTTTAAAACAAAACACAAAAAAAGACATCTCAGACCGTGCTCTTATACTAGATCTGTCAGTTCAAGAGAAACAAAAATCAAAATCATTTGATACCCGGGTTATTTTCAGCCTGTAAAATATATGAAAGGCAACTGGTCAATAATGTTCAGTGACAAGCGTTGATAGAGAGTTTGGGTAGTTTTATGGATGTCATGTTTTCTGACAAAGAATGCTGTGCATGACGTCACCACTAGAATATATAACATTGGTTGACTGATATAGTAATCACTCAAACGTCCAAAAGCACAACAAACTCACCGCCATTCTCAAGAAGACGTCGACAATATTACAATGACGAATTCAGGTTCGTTTAAAATAGAACCTCCGTGCCAATTAATCGGTACAATTATTGAACACTATACCAGGTATTGATTTTGTGCATTGTATATTTAACTCTGAGCAAAGAAAACATAACAACAATACAAAAGCAGGGTAACCAGGTTAGAGTTTGCGTGTGGCTGTTTCTATTGCGAAATGGCCGCTCACGGTGGAAAAACTGCGGAGACTTAGGCAAAAACCAGGACAAGTAAGAAAACTGATTTTGGCACAATCAAGGCGGTACGGATAACACTTAGTTGGATTCACTGCTTCCAGTAGCATCAAAGTGTGTTACTATTTGGACTATTGTGGCACATTGAGATAATATATCCTGGCAAGTGATTGTGTAAGTATATAAGTATAAGCGTCCAGCAGTTTGACGGCCATGTTAGATATACCCTCTACGTAATCTTTTGTAAAAGAACGATATTAGTGAAATATCCTGTGAATCTTGACTGTGGGTTACCCGTGAACGGAGTGAATGGTTGTCCTTGGAATGGAAGTCCGGGGTCCCATATGGTTTGTACAGGTTGAAGTTAGTCGTAGTACTGGGGTTACCATATGGGACGAATGTCACCTGTACAAAGTAATGGGAGGCGGACTACGGTTCCTAGCGGACTACCATTCCTGTCGCCCTTGATAGTAGCTACACAGCTGTTACGTAGAGACACTCAGTAAGAAACAAGGCACAGGTGAATACAGGTGAGTGCAGGTGTAGGTCATCTACGCAGTCCCCCTAGCTGTGCATAGTGGACGCTCTACTTGACCAAATAGGCCTGACACACCATGTATGTACTCACAGGTCCCTCCGATGCATAAATTGTAGATATGATTCTTCTTTTCAGTTTTTATCCTGTCGACGATCCAGAATATTGGATCTGATAGATCAATCTGATAAATTCTGATATGCAGTAGGCCTGATATAAAATAATGTAATCAAGAAACTTTGTAAAAACAGAGCCTATTTTACCGATTTCACACCACATCATCGTGCATATAGCTGGTATCAGAATTAAACGATATCATTTATTCCGGCGTGGACCTATAAGACCTATAAAATCTATGTGCTCTAAAGATTTTAGGATGTATATTGATTTCCCTTTTTTTCGGCAGGTTATAGTTGACTTTGACAAAATGACACAACTTGGGAGCATGGAGTATCCTGCCTTAAGAGGAAGGACGATTACAGCGCTGATTGTATTAATACAGATTATTTGCCTGGTAAAATTAGCAGGTACGCATGTGCACAAAATCAGTTAATTTTCTTAATAATGCTTAAATGCGAATGTGTGCTTATTTGCCTGAGCGTTTTTCAGCAACTGGACGTGCACATATGCAGTGGCGGATTTAGAGGGGGGTCAGGGGGGTCCTGACCCCCCCTCGGTTTCTGAAAAATATTTCACACCAATATTCCCCTCTTGAAATTAGAATTTTGACTAGCTAAATATATACAGTATATAAGACAATGAGAAATTCAAAATGATATGATTCATACATCATTGACGTCTCGCGTCTTTGTTAGCGTTAAAAACCTAACTTCTGATTCCATGAATGGCGAGCGTGGGCTTGATGCTGAAAATTTAATTTTAGTCAGCAGGCCAATTCCCTTAACTGAGCAAAATGTATCGTAGCATGGCAGTAGACCTTATCTAGTGTGTGTGTGTGTGTATGTGTATGTGTGTGTGTGCGTGTGTGTGTGTGTGTGTGAAGAAAGACACCGAATGCTGATATTTCAGAATAATTTCACATATGGTAAACAGGTGTAACGGGATTGGAAGTACGGGCTCTCATATGATTAGTACAGGTTAGGGTTAATTGGAGTATTGGGGTTAGTATTTGGACGAATGTCACCTGTACAAAGTAATGGAAAGTGGACTACGGCTCCCAGCGGACTCTCATTCCTGTTACACCTGGGCTACATGTGTAGTAGGCCCAGTTAGACACTATTGGACTTGTAGAGTATCGTATGTGACATCGAATAATTGCACGACTTTGAGCATATGAAGGCAGGGGCGGATTCAGAAATATTTTCTGACAGTCCTGGAAGACCCAGAAGACAGCCTATATCCGCCCCTGTGAAGGTATCACCGCCGGGTTTATTGAACATTCGTGAACAGTTTCAGTAACAACCCCTCACCTAAAATGAGCTATACCTGTTGTTATTTGCATAACAACAAGTTGTTCATCGTAGTGCGACCTGTCTTCCCGTATGCTCACTTGGAAGTTAGACAGGGTCGGGTGTAGACGCAACAGTATGTGTGGTGCAGCCAGAAGGCCGAGCTTTTAAAAGGCGTGGAAGCAAATGTATATTTGTGAGTATCACTATTTCTTCATCAATCACAGCCATTAATTACTAAAGACGCAAAAGAATGAGAAAAATATTTACAGCAAATATTTATGACATGAATCCTTTTACTATATTTCCTATATTGTTACTTGTATATCTGTCAGAATGGTAGAAATTATTGCTTACAGTGCATTGGGACTCCAAATGTTCAGGATAAACGGCGCATTCATCTGACTTTTGACGATAACCTAAGTTTGCGTGAAACCCTCTGCACTTTGTAACCCTCTGTTTGAACATTTTGTGTGCCCCGGTCTTGAGAATTAATTTTGAATATTTTGACCTAATTTAAAATGTCGCGTGTCTTTAAATGTAAGTAATACCACCCAAATTAATTAATTGGATGATGCTTGTCACCGTTCTGAGCTTCTGAGACTGATCCAAGGATTTTGACTGCTCATTGCACAATGATTGACAGATACATATTTTACACAGCCTGTCGTCTCCATTGCGCCGTGTTTTGCCCATCCATTACACGGTTCATATTATATACGTGCAATATATTTGTTATAATTTTCGAAGAGAATTTGTAAATTTTCTCTTTCTCTGAAATGCGTCATCATGTACTACAACCCGCGTTATAACTTTTAATATCAAGAGGAATGTATTGACGGTCGTAGCAAATGAAACGGGTAGTGCTATCAATGTTACTTTTTTAATAAGAGGCCTCAAATAGTTATATCGTTAACTAATTCCAGATCATAATTTTGGTTTTACGCTAGTTGAACCTGAGCATCAGACTAGTTAATAATCGTGCACGCCATTCCATTTATACGTGTCCTCTGCCCTGTGACATTACATGCATTATTAGAATGTTCAGAGTCTGTCTGTTTAGTTGTAAACATTATTTTTTTCTTTTCAGGAGCTCAACGAGATTCTGCACAGCATCTGTCTGAAAGCAACCTATGAAGTCTAGCCTTTGTTTCACAGGAACCCACGCTCCTTCGTATATCTATTATATGGAAACTCAATAAAAAAACTTTTATAATTTGGCGTTTTGTTTTTCACCTTTTTATGAAATTATTATGATAAGGATAGTAGTAATCATAATGGAAATGGGTTATTTTTAGTGTTTTAGGACTTTCAAATTCAATCTGATCTGTAAAGAATGTCAGTGCTTTTGTGGTTGACGGTTTTCTGTGGTACCGAAATTTTAAATTGTTGTAAAATGACCAGTATTTTCTAAATAACCCCTCCAAGCTGTTTTAGCACACTGTAGTAAAATATCTAAAATGGTTTCCAACAGCCTACATTTTATAGTTCAAATTTATATAAATTTACAATCCTGGTTTTAAAAAAAATCACATGATAATTTTGTTCTATGGCATATGGAACTAACTCGTTTGGTTATTTTTCCTGTATTATCTTATATAGGGAGGGTCCCATTTTGACGGAGTTTGGCTTTTGCTATCGTGAATTGTTTTAATTTGGCGGCCTTTTCTTAGTATAAAAAGTTTATTTGATATTTGAACATAATAATAAGAAGGTGTGATGATTCTGATGTAAGCTTAAATCAAGTTAGATTTTTTAAATGAATACTGCTGAAATTGATGAAAAATTTGATTTCTGAGGGTAAAACGGAACTTCAGTTCCTATTCTCTGAATCAAATTGGGATAATTACAAGACTCGCCCCACCCGTCACCCCTNCTATTACATGAAAACTTAATAAAAAAACTTTTGTAATTTGGCGTTTTATTTTTCACTTTATGAAATAATTATGATAAGGATAGTAGTAATCATAATGGAAAATGAGTTTTTTTAGTGTTATAGGACTTTCAAATTCAATCTGATCTGTAAAAAATGTCAATGTTTTTGAAGTTGATGGTTTTCTGTAGTACCTAAATTTTAAATCGTTGTAAAATGACCAATACTTTCTAAATAACCCCTCCGGATAATTACAAGACTCGCCTTACCTGTCACCCCTTTTATGTAATGGACTCGCCCCACCTGTCACCCCTCCAATGCAATGGACTCGCCCCACCTGTCACCCCTCCAATGCAATGGACTCGCCCCACCTGTCACCCCTGTAATGCAATGGACTCGTCCCACCTGTCACCCCACTAATGGAATGGACTTGCCCTACTTGTCACCCCTCTAATGGAATGGACTCGCCCCACATAACTCCCCTTTATTTGGAGTCGCCCAACCTGTCGCCCCTTTGATGCAATGGACTCGCCCCAATTTGTCTATCAAATGACCGTGGTGTACTATTCAACCTTATTTGCTTCGGCCAAGTCTTCACTGCTAAACCTTTTAACTACTCCTGTGTTAGCCGACCTTGTAAGCAAATCATTAGAATGAATTTTCTAAAATGAAGTTTAAACAATCCATTTATTCATCAAAAACGCCAATCAACCATCAGGATTACTTGAAAACACCTTTTTAATAATTTTGATAAACGTTATTACATAATTGAAGTCTATTTTTGTAGGTTTTTTTTAAATGCTTTTCATCATGTCGATCGGAAATTTCGGGTAGGCACCGACTGCCCGAGGGTTCTCAAATCTTCATCGCTCTAGTCGCCGACTAACCCCAACCCCAATTTGTAATCAGCCGATAGGTGTAGCTAAGACAGCGTATGACGCAGGCTTGATGCCCAACGTTATACCGAGAGCGCTATATTGGTAAATATAACCAACACATATCTTTTTATTTTTATAACATTGTTAGAACGTTTTAATACTAGATGTATTGATTTAAGTTGTGTAGTGATGCAAAGTATGAAATCCTTTGTTCATGTGTTTTCGACAATATTAACAAAAATGCATCATTTGTAAATTTCACCAAAATTTATATACGTTAATTGAACTTGCTGGCATCGTTCCTCGGATCAATGATGATGACAGTGGCGGTGTACAACGTAAGAATGGCGTTCTCTTAACACTTAATTGTTGATGGTCTAACCAATATATAACCCTGTTATCAAATCGTTTTGTGTAAGCTGGGTATACGTCACCTTCATTATTATTCATTATTATTCATTAAGAAAAGGGGGGGGGGGTAAGGTCGGGGGTAAGGTCGGCTTCGCATCCGCGCCCCCCCCCCCCTCTTTAATTAATCCTGTATCCGCCCCTGCATATGTGTGTGTTTGTGTGTGTGTGTGTGTGTGTTTAAGTGAAGGAGAGAGAGCAAGGACTCTCTTATAAGTTTATTTACATGAAAACCTTTTTTTAGTGAGTAGTGGCCCAAACTAATCTTGCTGACAGGTCATTTTACAATCAAATACATACAGGATATCATTAAATGCAAAGAATTTTGAGTCTACACTCATTTTTTTCCACTTTTCCAGAAGGCCAAAATTATTCATTTTGCGGCACTGACAATAACTATGTTAATAACGTCATGGATCAGACGGGTTACATCATATCAAGACGCTCGGGGCAAATTTACTACGGGAACAACATAATGTGCACGTGGTTCTTGGACGCTGGTGCTGGGAACTCTCTTCACTTCACCATTGAGAGTTCGTCTTTAGAACCAACCAGTGGAGTGTGTGACCATCACGATTACATGGTATTTTATTACGGTAAGATGGCGTTATACGCTAGACGTAGGGTAGACATTATTTCTTCTGATTTCATCTTTTTTTTTTTTTTTGCTTGTGGTTGTTTTTCCATTGGTATGAAAGATTGATTCCATCCAAATTCTTCAAATAACAGTTTCCGCGGGAAACAACTTCAGTTATACGAGATTTTTTAAAAGTGATAACAACTGTTCCTATGAGATTCATATTTCACAATAAATGCATTGAAAACAACTTACAGAATTATAATAAAGTCCATTTTATTACCACCGAAACAGCGGTTATCGCAATTATTCTTGAATCTATGTTTGACAGCTTTCCACGTGGACCTTCATAGATGACTTTACCTCTAAAGAGATTATTACAAAAAAACTAATAATAAACATAAAAAAGATGGACAGCTTTGAATGTGGGAATGGATTCATTAACCATTTTTCCCAAACAAAAAATTGTTGTCCCTTGTAAATTAAGAAAGACAAACTGTCCCAAACACGTATATACACGGTTGTAAAGTTACCAAAGTCATAAAGCTCAAAGCAATGAGCTACAGATATATTATACAACCATTGCCTATTGCCCAAAGTTTAGAATCATAAACTTCTATTTGATTATATAAATATATTTATATATGTTTACTTTATTATCTTATATATTTAATTTATTATCTGATATATTTCATTTCCCAGGGAGTACAAACAGTTCCAGGTTGAGAAATGTCACGTGGTGTGGATCCGATTACCCACGTACCATTACCACCTCAGGTCGCTATGCATACATCAGGTTTAAGTCCAACAGTGCCGATTCTCGTTACTCTGGCATTCGCTTGAAGTACGAGACTTTCAGTAAGTATTGCAGGAGTTTTATTAATATTTATTTGTGTATATGTGCCATTTAATTGATCGTAAATTGCGGGTCCAGAATATTCAAGAAGTCGTCCTGCTTGTACAATACACATTGCGAAGTTGAGCAGAATATAAAACATGTGAGTGAGCGCGGGCGTGTGTGGCACATTGCTCACGTGTGGGTTTCCATCATTGTCAGAGTGCTTATTACTTTTCTTTCTTTAAAAGTTAAAGCTTTAATGCATTCTGTAGATCATAAATAAAGCCATAGCATCATGAATTATAAAATTAAGAAATTCCTAACGATCACATACTTGTCTCAGATAACACCTTCTGTCCGCCGGGGTGGGCCACGTACAACGGCTCCTACTGCATACAGGTTAAGACGCACAAAGAGAAGTGGAAAGACTCCCACACGCACTGTACCTATGACCAGGCCAACTTGGTCAGCATTTCCAGCCGACAAGAGGCAGACTTTATTGCAGGTAACATTTTTGGTCGTTTTTAAAACTTGTGTTTATGCAGAATCTTAGGCCTATCTGTTTATTTATTCATTTTTATTTTAATAATATAATTTATTTCTAAGGCGTGTCAAATAAATACATTTATAATTATTGTTCATTTTGTACAGGAATGCAGAATATTTCCAGTAGTTATATATGGGTAGGATTTGAAAAATACAGCAGCAAAAATCATGATTGGAAATGGATAGACCCTGCAGAACACTATGAGCCGCCTGGGTAAGTCCACATGTTTACAATTCTCATTATTAATAAATAAATAAATAATAATAAATCAATAAATCAATAAATAAATAAATAATAGTAAAAAGCTCAACTTAAGTTCGCTTCTTCATAACACATGATTGGAAATGGATAGATCCTGCAGAACACTATGAGCCGCCTGGGTAAGTCGACATGTTTACAAAGAACCGGGAAGATTGCCTAAAATTTTTTTTAAAAGCTAAAAAAAAAATTAATTAATTAATAATAATAATAAAATAATAATAATAATAATAATAATAATAATAATAAATAAATAAATAAATAAATAAATAAATAAATAAATAAAAATAAAAAACTCAACTTTAGTTCACTTCTTCAGAACACATGCAATGTGAGTCTGAATGTTTTGTCGTTTTCAACACATAATGGGATTCATTTTTTTTTTCACATTCACTCTGCAGATTTTTTAATCAGTGCCAAAATGTATCAATCAAAACTGAGAATATTAGAGAGGGAGTGGAGTTTTGATATTGTTAAAATGTTAAGTTTACTTATGAATACAGGAATTTTTCTAAGTAGTTTTACGTCGACTTTGCAGACTTTTTGAGGCAGGAGAGTCTAACACCGAATGTGCTGGCTTCAACCCTTCGTCCAAGTCTTACGTGGAGATGGACTGCTCTGCAAAGAATATTTTCGCGTGTAAAATGATAAAAGGTAATGAAGTTTTAAACTTGCTTTACGAATAGAATCCATACCTTTGCTATGTTAATAACATTTCCAAGGTTGCAGCCTTACGGATATATATGTATGTACGGAATGTTTAATTGAAATGTTTTTTAAAAATGTTTTAGCTTGCTTTTGCATTTATGAACCGACTTCTTTTGTCATTGTGACATTATCTATACCATACACTTTGCTGCTTCTTACTCAATATATTTTTAGGACTTTGAAATTAACTGTGTGACCAACAAAAAAATTTAAGTTATGGGCTACTATGATAATCTGTATAATAATAGGAGATCAGTCGAAGTCTCCTTTTCACGTGTTCCCCCAAACTACAAAGATCTGTTGACAACTGACAATACCTTAAGGCAGTAGGAAGATAGTGGCTGAAGTTTGAATTTGATTATAACTGTTAAAAGTATATTTTGAAGGCATTCTCTAGCCTTTGGCAATTTCCGTAAAGCTTCGGTATGTGTAACAGAAATCATATATGTTGTCATTTACATTACTGTAGAGAGCAGGATTTGCTGAACGAGTGGTAACGTCCTTGGCTGCCAAACACGACGGAGTGGGTTCGATTCCCACTCAGTCCCGTTTCTTTAAATTATTTTTATTATATACTAACCTCTTATCATGGTTCAGTGATTAATGTGGCAGGTATCAGTAAGTTATATATTTAGTAATATTTGAATGCTTCTATTGCTGGGCAATATCAATTAATTGTATTTTGATACTTGGTTTTGTCCATTTAATCATTTATAAGTAAAATACCAAATTACTGGAATTTGTTCATTTTCAGGCAATAACACTGTATTTCCAACTCCAGACAGAAAAGAAGGTAAAGATGTTTTTGTTTCTTACAAAGCGGCTGTCTTAATCATGATAATGCTTGCGTTTTCTTTTCCAATTCATTTATAAACTTCAAATAAATAGGCCGTTATCTGTGGTTTATTTTCTTATAATCCTTCAATTAATGATGTTTTTATCATTGCACGATTTAAACAAAGGGAGGAGGTTTTCTGTATTAAATGAAAAAAACAGTGTATTAAAAAAATAAATCGGAGTGCCACAGACTTATTATTCTGTCCAAGAGGAGACTTATAAATTAATTTAATTAGATCTCTCTTCGATTTTAATTCCAGGCGAAGAAATACAGTGGCACTGGGTCGGTGTGGGAGCAGGTCTTTTCGTTGTCTGCTTTTTCACTGGCACGAAAATGAGCAAAAGAAAGAAAAATGTGACAACATTGGAAACAACGGCGCATGCAACTTCTGTTCAGGTGAATTCGACATCAAGTTCGCCCCGAATGCCCCATCGAAAGGACACGCCAGCGGTGACTCTGGAATTACGATCACGCGAGGAAGATCTCCCCACATGTAAAGACAATTCCGACGATAGACCAATATTAAGGAGGACTTATTCCGACCCGAACATGAGATCAGGCCATCTCCTTTCCAGAGACTCTCGCGCTAATAGTGGTCAGCACGTACCTGACAACGTCTCACATCATTCACGGGAAAATCAACAAATTCTCAGGGTTGACAGGTTACCCGACACGGGGAATACAAAGGCGCGTGCTCTGCCGCCTATTAACGTTGCACCCACTATGCCTCCAGTGGATAGTGGCACTGGTTCGTCTTGGCACTATGACTATTCAACAGAGCCACCTATAGAGGATGATTCCCATGTACATTTACCCCCTCCCCCGTCATATGATGAGATCATGGGCGTGGCTGATCATCACCATTAGTTGTAGGTGAAAGGGTGCTGTCCAATGGAAGAGTAGGACTGTAACACAGACTAAATATCAAATAGGGGACTTTTTGTTCGACTCATTAAAAATTATTGAAAGGACAATCTAATATTTTTGTACATAAAATTTATCTTTGAAACTTAAATGCCAAATATATCATCAGTTCTTCACTCATGCAAGATTTCTCAACAGATAGACTACACGAATCTGTGTAATGTTTACTACGGTTGTTTAGATGAAGGAAGTTGTTACTTAATATAAAAGAGGAACTGCTGCAAACTTTTCAAAACCGTATCTTTTGTTACACATGTGCCATGTAATTATACACGATATCTTTGTGCCCCACTTGTTGCACAGTTTTAGTTTTTAGCCTTGTTTCTGCTTTAACGAGAGCAGATACAAAAAAAAACTTCGTAAAAGTAGATGACACGTTTTAAAAAATGATAAATAAAAGACATTGCAAAATAAGGAGAATTGAAGGCGTATGGACTCTACTTCTAGACAACGGACACACGAATCCGTGTGTCCGTGTGTAAATGTGTCCAGCTTATGTTGCCCTTCGGAAAACCATCGCCAACCAAAAACTAAATTATCTGAATGTACGTTGCAAACTAGGCAAAATTCTGCAAAAGTTCCTGATAACTATAACGTTGCGTAACCTTTAAGAAAAAAATCACTATTATTTTTGGAGATTGTTTTTATGTCAAAACGATGTACATGGCGTATACTGTTTCAATTATCCATTGCAACACTGTGAAGGCTAGGTTATAGATTGTTTTTTTTTATTAAATATTCACAGACATGTCTCTGGCAAATTCATGACACGATTCTTTGCTGTAAGCGCCGAAAATAGATGCACATAGTTAATGAAAAGCCAATTGTAGCCAAATGCAAAATTGTGTATTTAACCAATATACTTTAAGATAGTGCGAAAATAATTTCTGCACTGTAAATAAACTTGAAGATACTGAAAACATACTTTACTCAGATCAGTTATCAAAGTAGCCTCTTATCTTCACCATTGCTTAAATTCAGAAATGTTACTTTCATAGCATAAAAAAGTTCCACTCTCTCTATTTTATAGTTTGACCAAGTACATGCCTTTATTTAATAGTGCAGCTTAGGTGGAACAGTTAGTTTGTCCATTTTATTGGAACACGATGATTTTACTTGATGGTGTTACAGATGCTGCATAAATCGAAATTAATAACAAAAAATGCATTACATACATTACCCCAATAAGCAACTTACTATAACATAATTCACTAAATCATTAAAAACCAGCGAAAAACTCTCATAAGGTCTAACCTCTTCTCATCAGACGTGGGCAGTTGATTTTTATATCTCTTGTACCCAATCAAACATTTCGTTGCTCAAGCATATTCATAGGAATTATGCCTCTTTTGTTGGGCACTGAGTAGAAGAGGCAGTAACATTTACTTTTTGTCATAAGACAGAAGAAAATCAATTTAGCAAAGATATACTGTACGTAGTATTAATAACGTATGCAGATTTTTACTAATAAGTGCAGAGAAAACGCTTTGTCTCTCTATCTAAACAATTCAGCACACATACACACGAACTCACAATTACTTTGGAGATTAAAATGCATAAATATCAAAGCCTAACCTATATAATAAGTTAAGATAATACCAACATAATTTCTGCTCTGAAAGCATACTTCAACACAGTTTCTCAGATCAATTATCAAAGTAGCCTCTCAATCTTATCCTCATCATTGCTGAAATTCAGAAAAGTTAATTTCATAGCACAGAAAATTTCTTCCCTCTCTCTATTTTATAGTTTTGGCCAGGTGAGTGACTTTCAATAGTGGCGGTCAATTTCCCCGCGTTACTGGAACACTATACTTTTAGTTGATGGCGTTTACATGTAGATACCACTCAAAACGGCAACAAAATGAAAAAAAAATTCATTTCATATAAAATCACAAAAAGCATTGTACATAGTAGTAGTAGTAGTAGTAGTAGTAGCAGTAGTAGTAGTAGTACATAAGTTTCAATACAATTTAAATCATAATTTTTCTTGTATCTCGCCTTTGTACTTAACTCCCTACATTAGAAGAAGATGGTTGGTTTCTACATCTCTGGTACTTTCTCAAAGAGTCTGATACTCAAGTGTACATGAGCAATTATATCTCTTTTGCTGGACATTTGCCCAGTGCTTAACTGTTGGAACGGATGCAGCTGTGACATTCAAATAATTATGTTATTATAAGTCAGAAGACTACAGTATCAATCTAATGGGTATACTCCTTCTGCATATTTTACACATATTAATATATCGAAGTGCAAAAAAATTTTGCATGAATATTCTCACATAGACGATGTGATCGGTGACCTTGGATACAGCGTCCGACTTCCATTGGTTTAATTTGTGCAAGTAAACCCCGGCTTAAAATTGGATCTCCTTACGTAACACTAACCCTAACCTGTAGATATCTTGTGGAGAACGGACTCATGGACTCGGTTACACGTCCGTCAGTTTCTTAACGCCAATTACTGGTCAAAGCCCATTATATTCCCACAATGCCCTAACTTTTTTAAACGTCTGGAGGATTTCATTACTTGCATATTGTCAGAGCTATCACCAATGGTGTCAAACCCGTGTATATTTTTATTTGGGCCACTTGGCTTCTTTTTAGGCTTGGGCTCGACTTCTTCCTCATTATCATCTTCCTCCTCGGTTCGCTTAATATCATTGGACTTTTTCTTCTCTTCTTCATCTTTCTTAAAAGAAGACTTGACAATACGCCCACCCCCAACAACATACATGCCACTCGCGTCCTTAATCTCCTGTTCGTCACCCCTTATTCCACCCTCCTTTCTTGTAGAAGATTTACTATCAATACCAACCCCACGACCATGATCACTGCTTGTTTCGCACCCACAACCACAATCAGCGCCACTTAGCTCATTCCCGCCATCACCACCTCCTATCCGTCCTCTCCCTTCATTTTCATTACCACCTTTTCCACTGCGCTCCCTTTCATTTGCATAATCTTCCCCTTCAAGTGCAGCCTTTCTATTTCCACTGCGCAGTGAATACAAGGTATATCTGTTTCCACCCCCATTTCCGCTATCATTTCCACCGTTTCCAGTCCCGACGCCAGTTCTATCTCTTTCATCCCATTTACCATTTCCACCACTCCCATTTCTACTATCATTTCCGTCAATTCCATTTCTACCANTTGGGCCACTTGGCTTCTTTTTAGGTTTGGGCTCGACTTCTTCCTCATTATCATCTTCCTCCTCGGTACGCTTAATATCATTGGACTTTTTCTTCTCTTCTTCATCTTTCTTAAAAGAGGACTTGACAATACGCCCACCCCCGACAATATACATGCCACTCGCGTCCTTAATCTCCCTTTCGTCACCCCTTATTCCACCCCCCTTTCTTGTAGAAGATTTACTATCAATACCACCCCCACGACCATGATCACTGCTTGTTTCGCACCCACAACCACAATCAGCGCCACTCAGCTCATTCCCGCCATCACCACCTCCTATCCGTCCTCTCCCTTCATTTTCATTACCATCTTTTCCACTGCGCTCCCTTTCATTTGCATTATCTTCCCCTTCAAGTGCAGCCTTTCTATTTCCACTGCGCAGTGAATACAAGGTATATCTTTTTCCACCCCCATTTCCACTATCATTTCCACCGCTTCCAGTCCCGACGCCAGTTCTATCTCTTTCATCCCATTTACCATTTCCACCACTCCCATTTCTACTATCATTTCCGTCAATTCCATTTCTACCACCATTCCCGCCACTCGTATTTCCACCAACATTTCCACCATTTCCATTCCCACCACCAATTCTTCCACTACCACTTCTACCACCATTCCCACCACTCCCATATCCACCTACATTTCCACCACTCCCATATCCACTACCATTCCCACCACTCCCATATCCACCTACATTTCCACCACTCCCATATCCACCACCATTCCCATATCCACCACCATTCCCACCACTCCCATTCTCACCACCAATTCTACCACTCCCACTTCTACCACCATTCCCACCACTCCCATAGCCACCACCATTCCCACCACTCTCATTTCCACCAACATTCCCACCACTCTCATTTCCACCTACGTTTCTACCACTCCCATTTCCAGCATTCCCACTTCTACCACCATTTCCGCCACTCCCACTTCCATTCCCGCCACTTCCGCCCCCAGAAGAACCCCCTCCACCTCTACCCCAACCAAAATTGAATAAAGAAAAATGGGGACTGAAACCAGTGCCTCCCACACCAACAGAGAAATCAAAACTGACCAAACTGAAAGAAGGATTTGTGGAAACCGTTGGTCCAACATTGGCATCAACTCCTGCTCTGAAATTAACTGCCGAGAAAGACACTGCTCCCCCTTGCTCGGTTATGGACTTTTGTCCAATTCTTAGGCCATACATATCAGCGGGGCCGTAGCGATAGTCCGAAGGTTCAATAGTCCGAAGGTTCATTGGTCCGAAGGTTCAATGGTCCGAATGTGCATTGAAGGTTCATTGGTCCGAAGGTTCGATAGTCCGAAGGTTTATTGGTCCGAAGGTTCATCAGTCCGAAGGTTCGATAGTCCGAAGGTTCGATAGTCCGAATGTAGGCCCGCTGTATAAGTGTATAGTGAATTACATGTACAGGGGCGGATCCAAGATTATTTGAAGGGGGGTCCGCGGATGCAAAGCCCCCACCCCCCTTGGCGTAGGATCTGGGGCCCGCTAAAGGGCCCCGAAAATTGTTGGTGTCTCAAAATGACCACCTAGTTATCTAGAGACACATNCCCGCCACTTCCGCTCCCAGAAGAACCCCCTCCACCTCTACCACAACCAAAATTTAATAAAGAAAAATGGGGACTGAAACCAGTGCCCCCCGTACCAACAGAGTTATCAAAATTGACCAAACTGAAAGAAGGATTTGTGGAAACCGTTGGTCCAACGTTGGCATCAACTCCTGCTCTGAAATTAACTGCCGAAAAAGACACCCCTCCCCCTTGTTCGGTTACGGACTTCTGACCAATTCTTAGGCCATACATATCAGCATTTATACCATTAACTGTGATCCCTGATTTCGTAACCACCTCGTTTGTGTTTCGAGCATCAACTCCAATTGCTTGGGCATTGATGCCATTTGCTTCAAAATTTTTGTTTTCTGTTCTTGCTTGCAAACTTTGGCCTAGATCAATGCCCCTAACTTTTACATTCATACCATTATATTGTTGATCTATACTCTGGAAGTTCTTTGATGCATTTATGGATCCTTCGACACCCACAATATCAGCTGTCAAACCCTTTGCTTTTATGCCAACTTTTTCCACTCCAGCGCTTGCGCTTGCTTGGAATTTTGCGCCTCGGATGTCAGCGGTCAATCCAGTGGCACTGATCCCCTTCACCGTACATTGTGCTGAAACGTCTGCAGTTGCTTGTAGACCAGTGGCGTCGAATGTGCCAGCTTTCAAGTCTGCACCAATGGCTGTAGCCGACGCCTCGGCTGAGACTCCAATGTTGGCCCCAGTTAAGTTAACTTGGAATCCCCTTGCTCGTAACGCAGTACCCGAAGCGGCAACTTCAGCGTTCCCTCTGATTTTGGCGCCAGTGAGGTTGGCCTGCGCCCCCTGTAGGACGGCCCCATTGACTTGACACTTGCCCTCCGCGTTCACTCCAGCGTTCACTCCAGTCACGTTCGCTTCAACTGCTTGTACTTTAAGTCCAGTTATGCCAGCTCCTGCTCCAAGAGTTGCACTTTTTTTCACCCCCGTACATTTTGCGTTGCAGTACGAAACATTGCAGCCATGCAAAGTACACTTGAACTCTTTTGTCTTGGTTTTTTCCTCTTTTTTTCTACTTTGTTGATTGCATTTACATTTAAGTCGTTTAATTTCAGCTAGAGGCTTCTCTTCTTTGCGTTTGGAGTCCTTGGCCTTTTTCTCTGCTTCATCCTTCTGAGCTTTCTTGGCTTCTGCATCACCGTCCCATAGGATATTTCCATCATCAATGTAACATGGTCGCCGGTGTCGAAGTTCCATTTTTCTCGCTGTAATATGTAACAAATTAAATTTAAGTTTTCTCAGGTCTACAAATTCAAATGACTCCACTCCAATTCCGATATTTTGTTTTAATAATTTCTTTATTTACCTAAGATCTAGCTAATCTTCGCATAAGTTAATATTTGCCCAAAATCGTGAATAAAGATACAATATCTAAAGAACATATCCAGACCTTATTGACATATGAAACAGTGACTGACACTATAGTTTATTTAGACAATTAAATAATAGGGAATAGGCAGCCTGTGAAAACCCAATGTCATTGTTCATGGCGAAGAAAGCATATTTATTCTAAAAACGCATTAAAAAGTAGATCAGTCTGAACGAATGACACATGGTCAGATAACATTTGGTCGTTGGACTCATAATAACGACTTTGAAATGGCAGCTTGCCAGTGCACCTGTATTCAGTCCTATTTACAAATTACAGCGACAATATGATTTAAAAATATGCTTTATTAACAGGATATAAACAAAATGAAAACTGCACAAACTATGTGGAATTTCCACCCAGTGTACTTTCGATTGGCCAGCTCAAAAAAATCTCTCTCCGCTCTTCCTTCACCTAATTAACAATACCAGTATATAGCAAGTGAACATTTCACTTTAAATGACACACAAGACGTAATTATCAAAGTCAGCTTTACCCTTTTTCATATTAAACTCACCTTTTTGTTATTGATCGTGAACTAGTAACTGTGATATCTATCGAGGTTTGATTACGTTCGAAAATTTGCTGACTCTGCAGTGGTATCGATAAGGGCGTCACAAAAATACCTGACAAAATTGTCAACAGAAAAATCCCCGCTTTCGTTTGTCGGCAAGCATATGGTTGTGACCTGTACATTATTTTATTTTAAAATAAAGAAATTGCTCCTTATACCCCCATAGGTATATCAAATCAGTTGATTGCAAAGGTTTCACGTGGTTTGTCAAGAAATATTTCGTCAAACTTTGTAGTTTCTTTTTTCAAATCGAAAGTGCGGGTGTTATTTATTATTTATTAACAGCCAGCTGATGCTCTCTGACCACAGGGTCCATTAGTGTAGCCTATTACAAAATTATTGTTCCGAATTGCTATTTCAGAGGCCCCTTAGATGTCAGCGGGTACTGATACAGGTATATTTTATGCCGAAATATGTATGTCTGCCAATATAAGTGTTTCTGGCGCAGGTGATAAACTAGAATGAAAAGCTAGAATGAAAAGCAAAATACCATGTGTTAGTTTAGCAACATATTAGAAAGAATATTTGAACAGTATAAATGATTCTATGAGTAGATGCTTGGACATAATAACGTTATTATGTCCAAGGTAGATATAATGGGGTTTAAGAAATGGGGAGGGGGGACATGTGAATAACTTGAATGTTACGTTCACCAAATAAACGGTTGTGCAAAAGCCGACTTCGCACTGAAAATAATGTCATCAAAATAATACTTAAATTTGTAAGTCATCATATCTTTCAAACTTGTGTTTTTGAACATCAAATGATTTTGGTATTTTGATATGAATATTGTGGCAGGACGGATACAGTATGACTATACCCTAACAGTTGATACAAATGCATGCACTTGGTGCAAATATTTCACTGGTATCTTTTCCCATCAAGTTCGACTGAAAGGTTTATGCGTACATAAAAAAGATAAAATCTTAACATTGAAACAATCTGTCGTGCTAATTTTTATCATTTTGGAGGAATCAAATTTGACATATCCGTGACTGTCACTCTGGATACCGATAAAGTCTTTAAAAAACACTTGTCAACCAAATGTATCTGAACATCAACTTTATTGTAAATATAAAATCCATGTGAAATGTCACAACACCCAAAAGAATCTTGTAATATAACACTACGAAATAAACAAAACAGCTGGACTGTAGTTACTTGATATCAACAAGATACTATTTAAATAGTTACATCAATTAAAGTCATTATATGATGTTGTAAATATCCCTGTAACAATGTAAGGAGTACATTTGGCAGTTTTTGAACTCCATGACCATACAGGTACTGCATGTGTTGCCCTGCTCACTACAGACACTTGTAACAGAAGTGGATTCAGGAAGGGAGGATACCAATAAGCCTGGGTCAACCCTTGCAGGTGAATTAAACCCTCTGCAAACAGGCCTAGTAGTAACTGCCAGATACATGCCCCATGTACCCAATAATGTGCAACCCCCCCCCCCCCCCCTCTTTCACAGCTGAATCAGTTGTGGTATGAGGGAGAACACCCTACCCCTCCAGCGCTCTTAATATCTGTGACATCCTGAATCCACTATTGACACAGAGATACCATCCCCATGGGCGTCTGCAGAAAAATTTTCCAGGGGGGGTCAAAGTCATTGAACAGGGAGATAATGATTGGCTGGGTACTTGCAATTTACGTGCCCGCCAAAATTCCAGGGGGGGGGGGTCAAGTGACCCAATTGACCCCCCTGTGGACGCCCATGACCATCCCTTATGTATTTTAAGGCAAGTCTTCTTTTTATTCTGTTGGACAGGTTTTCAAAGAATTTTTAATTTTCAACCAACACCAGCTGAGCTGCTGGCTTTTTGTCGCAGGTAACTGAACATATAGCTTACAGTGTGAGTTGGACTCAGTTGCAGTTGGACACTGCAAGTAAAAAGCACGAATAAACCCTTTAAACATCCTTTTTTTCAAAGCAAAAATCTAGTGGATACAGCAATACATATTATACTTCTTATCTGAAAGACTAGAGCTGAGCTTGCCTTACTTGTATCATAGGCTACTGGGCTGAGGTATGTAGATGAAAATGTTTACATAAATTGTAAACAAATCAAGGTGCACAATTAATCTGCGTTAAATTCTAAATGGATAAGCCATCATAAGATCTACATTTCAAAATGAAACTATAACGAATTAATGTTTTCAAATAATTTCACTACTGGATTTTCAATTTTACCTCTTTTCTCTTCCACTTGTCATCTAATTGTAAATTATTTACATGACAAAATACAGTACAAATTACTATTAAATATCAACTAAGGCAAGAACTGTGTCTGAGCTAAATAAACAATTTGAATATAACAAACCTATTGAAGAAATGAAGAGTAACTTGCTCCCATATGTGGAAGCAATGAGTTCTAAAACGATGAATCATTTCCCCCTCCCTTCCCCCCTCTCCCTCTTTCTCCCTCTCTCTCTTTCTCTCGCTGGACATTCTTGATATAGTCTTCTGGAGTAACACCCCCTGGATCTCAAGTAATAAGGAAACAAATCAACCATTGTTTGATTTTTCCAAGTTTCATAACATTAAAAATTCCCTGTCCCACACAGACACAGACACTGTTTTTTTTTGTACTGGTATAAATACCTTTAAATGAAAACAAAAATATGCCATATCCAATTTATTTCTAGGTCAACATACACCTTTCCCTCTGCACCCCAACCAAAATACAGTACCTATAACTTATCAATAAAAAACCTTAGGCTTTTAACCAAAGGCACCCCAGTAACCCTTCCTTATCAGTACAGGAAAATGTAAAAGAAATAATACTTAATTACTTAATATGGCAGTTAGCATAAGACTTATTACATCAAAATGAATGAAAAAAAAAGCATCTTACTGGGCATCTATAGTAGTATTCTCTAATACTGTTCAAGAATTATAACAAATTTTGAGACTGGCATATAAACATTTTACAAAATTATTCACACAACTGAGTAATGTCAGCATTATCATACTGTTTGTCCCTTATTTTTAAATTTAGCCAATTCTAAATCAGACTGATCATTTTTAATATTTTAGAAACCTCATATTTTACAATAAACCAAAAATTAATATTAAGACCATGCTAAAGTTAAATAATTAGGAAACTGGGCAAAAACACTTTACTAATTGAACACTAATTGAAATTTAATCAATTCTAATTACTGTAAGCAGGTTAAATAAATAATTATTTGCAATAATTCTGCATCATTGAAAATGAACAAAAGTAGGCAGCACTGGCATCTCTTAATATTCAAAAATGACTGTTTATACAATGAATATCATAATTTGCTAACTTAAAATAGACTGGTGATGTCATCCTAAGTAAGGTCAGTCTGAAAATGAATTCAAACCATGCTCAACTTGAACCTGTTTTATGTGTATTTACTGGGCAGATGTGACTTAATGTTTAGCCCAGAACTGTATACACATGGTCTATTAATTAAGTCTTAAGTTAAACTAGATGTGAACACACTTTTAATTTGTAAAGTCAATAACTAAAAAAAATGTCAAAATTGACAAAAGCAGATAAATAAATAAATTTGATGACATTTTCTTTTATACTTACCCTTTCAACTCTACCACTCATTGAATAAAACAGTATCTAAATAGTTAAACATGGGAGTTTTGATACAAAGCAATGCTAATTGTACATTAAAAAAGCCAACAAAAGGAAATTCATCCATCACTAGAACGTCAATTTTTGAGCAATGCTATTTTTAAAATAAGCTAATTTATAACTGTTATACATAATGCAGGTTTAATAGCTACTTTTAAAAACTACCTATCACTAACCTTAATTTACAATTAAACAAGCTCTAATTTCACTGAACTATAAAATACTAGTTTCTTCATTGCTAAATGGCCTTTCCTTCCTCCAGTTTCTTTATAACATCAGAATGGAGCTTCATGTGTATGTTGAGAAAAGACTTGCTGATTGTTTCATAACCACACTGGCAGCATCTGAAAGTCACCAGACACACGGCCTTCTGACCTTCACTTTGACCTTCACCTTGACCTTCACTGCTACGGCTAGGTATTAGATAACTGTCTGCGGCCTCTCTTCTGACTGGCTCTGGTAACTGGGACTCTGCAGTGGAAGGCATGATGTCTTCCTCATTATCATTGGTTGAATCTGTGTCGTCTGGCTCAGCTGTGGCATCAGTTTCATAATCAATGGCTGCGTTGATGACATCATTTGTGTACTGGTAGCTGTAGTTGGCATCGCTGGCATGACGCCACATGTGCGATTTCAAGGACGGAAGATGGTGACAGATGTAGCCACATAGGTTACATTTATACTGCTCCAGTGGCTGTTGAACATAGCGCTGATCGTTGGCGTGTCTTTTCATGTGTGACTTCAGGCTACGACTTGAGCCTGCTACAAAATCGCAGTGCTGACACTTCAAGGGGCCTGAAAGCTCCCCCTGCTGGGCAAAAACCTTGGCCTCCTTATATCCTTCATCAGATTCATTATCGGTTGTCTTATTGTCCAAAAGATGGAGCTTACAGTGCTCCTTTAGTTCTTCACATGAAGAAAAAATGCTTCCACACTTAAGGCATTTCACACTCACTGGGTCTGGTACGCTTTTTGGCACATTGTGGGATTGCAGGTGCAATTTAAAAGCTACCTGGTCATGGGTTTCAAAGCAGCAGGCTTCACACATGTAAGGTCGTTTGGCGTCTTTCTCATGCCCTCGCATGTGAGCACGTAGCTGGCTCTTATAGTTGAAAACGGCTGAACATGTCTTGCATTGATAAGTTCTGATTTTACAGTGCTGAATCATGTGACTTTGCAGAGATTCATTGGAGTCTGCAACAAAGCTGCAAAGAGAGCACTCAAATGGCTGCTTGTCTTTGTGCAAGCGCATGTGCGTGCACATAAGACTGGCATTGGCAGACATGTAATGGCAAAGCTTACATCTATACTGTCCTTCCATATCATCAAGTTTTTCAACATTCTCCAAAGTTTCCAACCACTTTGAATCGTCCAATGACCTAGTCTGACTAGTGACACGGCCTCCTTTCCTGCGGCGCCCTTTCCCACTTCCACTGGATTTTCCCCCATCACCCATTACCTCATCCACGTCTGCATCACTCTCGGACTTTGACCTTTCTCTCAGCTGCTCTATGACGGCCAGCAGTGAGCTACATATCCCAGACTTTGGCTTTGAACCTTCAGTGCAGGTACTTAGAGCTGTGCTGCCACTTTCATCTCTGTCAGCCTTGGCATCAGCCACCTCTGCCCCAGTTTGGGTAGTATCATCCTTCATCTTGTATTTCGGAGGGGCTTGCAGTTTGATGACCCCCTGAATCTTATCAGCATTTACTGGGCACGCTGGATTCAGATTGGGTCCCTTCTTTAGCAGGGACAGCAGACTAACAGCTTGATCCTCGCTGTGGAGGGTGGGACTAGACTGCTGCTGCTGCTGTTGTTGAGAGACACCGACTTGGCTCTCCATTTGCTCCTGTGTTGCCTGGTTTTCTGTGAAAAGATCATAACAGCTAAATAGCAACCTTCTCATATTTTTGTAATCCGAGCTCTCTAAGTAAATTGTCACACAGTTCCAAAGTTTAAAACAGAATGCATTTGAAACATATACTTAACCAGTTTTTAGAAACCTGTGCTTATCAGTTCTGTTTTTATGTATAATTTTTTGTTTAATCCTTATTAATTTCTTTGTGTAACTCTTGTCAACTTTTTGGTCACTATGATTATCATGACTTTATTTTAAGTTAACATTATCAGAATAAATATGTTTAAAAAAATTAACACAGATTAATAATGGCAAGAAATGAAACTGAAGTTAATACAGGACAAACAAAAATTTTTTATTACCTGGAAGGCACATCTGGATAGAGTGTTTAAATAAATGACCATTGGGCAAGAAAGAAAAAGTATCAGAAAATGGAACAATGTCAGTTTCCTTGTGTTTTTCAGGTCAAAAATCTTCTCACAATATCTTTAAAACAATTACCTGCACTGTGTTCCCCTTCATGTCCAGAGATTTCTATCATGGCACCCTCAGATGCTACACTCTGACTGGTCAATGACATTGTAATAGACTGCTAATAGAGAAAAAACAAAAAATGTAACAATAATACAAACTCATTACTTTGTTCTTATTTGGCCTGGGCTGATTGTTATATCAAAACTACATAAAATCAATACCCCTTCAACTACTATAACAGCTATGGACAATATCTCAGAATATTACTAATTTAAAACCATTTTAACAATTAATTATTTAGATCATCATATCATATCACTTAAGTCTCATCATCAGCACAAGTGAAAAAAAGTTTAACAGGGCAGGCAGACCCTTTGTCACCAGGTGGTAATGTCCAATGACAACACTACCTGATCTGTTGATCTGGCAGCGTCAATTAAACCATTGGTCTGGTTGTTCACACACCCTAAATACTTAAATTTAAAAAAAAATTAAATAATTTTTAAAAAAATTAATAAATGAATAACAGTTCCCCTTTACCTGCAGTGTGCTCTCCGAGGTGGCCTCGCTCTGGGTGTCCAGCAGTCGTGGACTGTTCTGGAAGGTGAAGTTCTGGGTGGTATATGCCTCATTTAAAGCCTCAACAATAACATTGCCTAAAAAAATGAAATCATCAAAAAAGGATATAAAGACTGATAAATATGAAATGAACACTGATAAATATGAAATCATTTCTCAGTTTCTTTTCATCTCTGCCCTAGTCTATTATAAAGAAAAGAAGACATAGATACTAATAATATCATAAGCATTCATGTGACCATTATATAATCTCATACTTCATACTTTAAGTAATTTACAGTTACAAGAAATATAATCATGTGAAGAGTGAAAATCAACACTAGTAGTTAATGATCAACAAATCAATGTATGTACATTCACTAAAAGGTAATACCAAACATTCCAATTAATAAATAAATCACCTCTGTTTTGTATAAGACCTTCTTGTCTCATCTTCTTGATAACCGCTTGGATTTCCTCGTCATTTGCCCTGCGTTTCCCCTGTGTCACCAGACGTATGTTTTCACTTGTTGGGCTATCAGGAACTCGGGAGCCAACTTGGCCTGAAAAACCATTGCACAAAGTGAAACTTGCTCATGTTTTACCTGGAAGAGGTTTCTTGGGTCACTATTTAACCTTCAATTGTTCTGACAGGGAAATTCATCCTAATGATAACATCTCCAAAAATAATAATTAATCATTTATCAAATATTCAATTTTTTATTGTTTATTTGACATCAATGCCACAATGCCTGTTCTTACTAAAGGTGAAAGAAATGAAAGGAAATTGCTATCTTTTATACCTTATTTCTTTGAGAACCATCAGTCCAGATATTATTTTTGATGAAAACGTCAAAATTTGCATGCTGAGAATACTGATTAATGAATTTTCACCTTACCTCCAACTGAGTCCATAGAAACATCTGAGCTAACATCCTCTTTATTGGTTTCCATGCCAACCTCTCCATCTGCTAAAGACTGCTCATTTATCTTCTCCAAGATACTTGTTGCCATGGAAACTTCACTGACACCAATAGCAGTTGACGACTGGTTTGCAATCTGGCGTCTTCCTCTAGACGTTTGACTTCGAGTTACCATGGCACTTGGAGACTTTCCTGTAGCAGGAACAAAATGCCGACTGTCTCCTTCATTGAGAGGACACGCACTGCTCTTCAGCACAGACCCCACAAGATTACCACTGCCTTCTTTATCAGAGGTAGCAAACAAATGGATGTAAGATGGATCAGACGATTTTAGGGATTGGGCCAGTAATTGAGATCTATCCCGGCTACTCATTTTCAACAGATTGACAAGATTTGGGGCAGTATGTTGTGTAATGGAGGTAGAATTGGAAGCAGTTGAATTTCTAGTTGCCTGTTGGGATTGTCTTGAGACAGGGCTGGCCTCTGGTGGCGGTGCTGCCTTTTTTGGTTGCCATATCACTCCAATGTCAGACCCCTTCTTGTCCAAAATTTTCACAATCCTGACATCTTTTGGACTTTGACCCTGTATTGACATGGGCATCTGTGCTCCAGAATACTGAGATTTTGGCACCATCATGTCTGTGTTATTTTTCCCCTCGATGTCCTCACTTTTCTGCTGCATCCCTCCTCGAGTTGCCTCACTCTTCTGTTGTGTCGAGACTGCCACATCGTCGTAAATACTCAGCGGCCCATTCTGAAACATGGGGTACTCTATCTCCTGGTGTCCCGAGTGCTTCCAAACATGTGCTTTGATGGTCCTCTGGTGCTCACATGTGTAACTACATATGGTACATCTGTACACAGACTGGCCTTGGTCAAACACAAATGCCAACTGACCACCACTGGAGTTTACAGCAGTGGTCACTTGCTGGCCAGGGGTCTTACAAAGGTCAGCAGCCGTGCTGAGATTATCCCTACTGGTTTGGCTTGACCCTGACCCTTTGGATTTATGGGACACCATGTGACTTACGAATAGATCGACGTCTTGGCTGGTGAAACTGCAGTCTGTACACTTGTATATGGCCACTGAAGGTGGCTGGGCAGCTGTCGATATTGAAGTTTGGTGTTGAGATCTCTCACTTTTTTCTGCCACAGCCTGCTCCTCTTCTTCCTGGGTGGCAGCTTCCTCAACCTCATCCAATGATACATGTTGGTACATATGGTCTCTGAGGATGTCCTTTCTATCAGTGGTAAACCCACATTCGGAGCACTTCATAAAAATGACAGGAAAAGAAGACTTGGGCTGCACTGTGGTGGAAGTGGACGGAGAAGGCAGCTGTTTTTGATGCTGACTGGCCTGGGAAGGTGGCTCCCATGATACATGTGACTTAGAGTGCTGTTCCAGCAAGTTCAGCTGCGTCGTAGAGTAGGAACAGTGACTGCACTGATGGGTGCGTGCCCCAGAATGAGTGTTCATGTGCATGATAATGTTACTTTTAATGGTCGTGGCATAGTCGCAAGAATCGCACAGAAAGACCCCACCTTTAGGATGCACCTCCCTCAGGTGGCTGTACAGCAAGTTACGCTCAAGAAACTGCTTCTGGCACAGATTACACTCAAACACACGCTGAGTTGCGTGCATCTTGATGTGGTTTGTTAAATGCCCCTTCTTACGGAAATTCGCATTGCAGTACGTGCACTCGTAAGGCCTCTCAGAGCTGTGGATCAGCAGGTGCTCCTTCAGGGAGTGACTGCGCTTGCCAGCATAGTCACAGAATGGGCATTTAAAGGGACGGGCGGCTAGATGAACCAGATCGAAGTGTTGCTTCAAGTAATGTTTGTTGTGGGTGAAATAGCTGCACTCTGTGCACCTAAAATTGTCCTTCTCTTCCAGGCTTGTTGATACTGAAGAAAGCACAGCAGTGTTATTCATTGTCATTATCTTTGTGCTACTTTAAACTGTGTAGTTGCAGGAGGGTTTCATTCTGGTTGTGTTAGAGACAATTTATGGTTGAGCTTAATTAGGTCTTGCACAATCATTTGCACAACCGAGTGACCTGGTTATAGTCAGCTGTTCTGATGCCGCACTGAGATCTCTTGATTTCCTACAGCATTGACAAGGTAGAACTTTGCTGAAGATAATCAGCTGTTTATTTCTGGTTGTTAGGGCCTTACCTAAAATGAAAAATTATCAAATTACTTTATATACTGATTATAGTGCCTTGTTTATAATATGAATTGACAAAGCACCTACAGTAATTTACTGATTATGATGTGGCTAATATATATACTTTACTTAGGCTCAACAAAGTAAAACTGCTTTGCACTGTACAGTTTGTGGAATTTTTAAATAATTCTTTTTTTACTTCACTGGTTTAAAGATAACCAACTTTATGATAAAAGCCTACACATACCCTCTTTCTTATCTGGATTACAAAGGAAAACATAACTTCACCATGGTTTTACATAGCCATTCTTTTATATCTAAAATAGAAAATATTTATCATGTAAAAGCCAATGTTTATTCATATCTTTCTCCTTAGTCTTTACATGGAAAAGACTAGATTTGAAAATCAGATTTAAACATTAATAAGTCTTGATATAAACATATGAATAAATAAAATATATAAATACTGTTACTTAGATGTAAAGGTGTCAGCAAAATAATTTACTAAAACTACAAAACATTAAAAGAATAATAAAAATAAATAGCACATGTATTACTGTTTTCTTCTGAAAAATAAAACATATAAAAAACGCAAAAAAAAAAAAATAAATAAAATAAAACGGTTAAATGACGAAACACTGCCAGATCCCCAAATTTAGTATAAGCCAAAGCACAGAAAAAAAACTTAAGCAGTAAATCCAGGCACTAGGTTTAAGGCAGGGCATATTTACTTAAGACGATAAAACCTCAAACCTCCACAAGTGCAAGGAACTCTTTCTATCGCACATGGTAAATTCTATTCCTAAATGCAAGTATTAGCATGTGAAAATATGTCAACGCTTTTTTTTAAAATCTCAGTGAACCTGTCCTTAAAATTCGTTGCCAAAGTTACAAACGCTTATTCTAAATTACAGGCACTATATTTCAGTAGCGAGTAAACTGTTAACTATATATATAATGAGCAATTACGTGACTTTCTCACATCAGCGTGCTGATGGAAACATTAAACCCACATTGCAAATTCTAGCGAGCGATCAAACTGCATTTTCTGGCTTTTCTTGCATATCAGTGAATGCATATCTTTCCATTCATTATAATAATATCTTATAACGCATCATTCATTACGATCTACGTTACTATTGTTGCTAGCTTACCCATTATTGACGCTAAACCGCAAGGTTCACTTCAAAGTCCAGAGGTTCACGCTGTCTAAAATGGCGATCCAACTTGTCACGTGATCAAATAGTACGCCAAACTAAGTCACATGACCCTCATCAAAATTTCAATGAAGAATAGACAGAAAATAAGTGACGTAAGATGCAAATGTTCCTTACCTTGAATAAACATTCACCATAAATTTTTTATTTAAAATAAAATCTTAGTTATTTGCTCAAGAAATGTGGTTAAAATTAAAATAATATCCTTCTGCATACATAATTATTCTCGCGAGAAAACACATAATTTCCTCTCCAGCCACCGGTGTAGCAAACTAGGTCGATAGTGCCACGTTAGCGTGATAATATATCAAAATGCCTGAAAGTTTAGGTTCAGTGATCGGCAAATTCTACGACCAATATATGCAAGACACCCCAAAGAAACTAAAACTGGTAGACGCATATTTATTGTACATTCTGTTGACGGGGGTAGTACAGTTTGCGTACTGTTGTTTAGTAGGGACCTTCCCATTCAACTCTTTCTTGTCTGGCTTCATCTCCTGTGTAGGATCATTTGTTTTGGGAGGTAAGCTTGATGTTGTGATTATTGTAGTTAGCAATTTTGAATAATGACAGGTGTTTTGTTTTTGAAATTTAAGATCCATTTGCTTTTTTCATAATTTACACATCACTGTTATTGTAATAAATAACTTGAATTTTTATAGTTGATGTGAATTTTAAAGTGAATTTGTCAATAGTGATTGTACTACTTGAACACAGTGTTTTGCCTTTTATCTACTTATTGCCATGTATATTGCAATCGGCGTTACTGTATTGATTGGAGTTAACAAACATGCACAATTATAACAATAGTATTCATTCTGACCTTCGTCTTCAGTAAATGCAAAATAAGCACTGAAGACTTAAGGGTTAACTTAACTGATGCATCTAGAAGTCTTGAACATATTTTGTATGCATATCCTTCTTTGCTTGAGCTAACTAATGTTAATATCACTATTTAAAGATAACCTCCTTGGTGGAGGTAAAAATTAGTACCAAGACACAAAATCTTTCCCTTTTTATTGTGAATGAAAACATTTTTTTTTTAACATTTAATTTTCATGTAAATAACATCTTTCTACTTTTCAGTGTGTTTAAGGATCCAGGTCAACCCACAGAACAAACATGAATTCAATAACCTTGCCCCAGAGAGAGCATTTGCAGATTTCATCTTTGCACACATTGTATTACATCTGGTGGTGATGAACTTCATAGGATAGAACACCTTTGAAATTGAATAAAAAATATGGTAATTATGCCCTTCGGTTAGATAGCAGAGCTGATATAACATTTGTTGTATTAGTCTTTTTATTTGCTTAAAGCAATCATCTCTTTTCAGTTCATAATTAATGCTGTATATTTGCTAAAATCACATTCATATATATCTTAGTTTGTCAATGTCATTAGAATAATTCAGTCTGATATCTTGGTTTGAGCTCTTGTATGAAATATTCGCATAAAACCACAATTGAGAAATTCACTCAGAAAGAAAAGGAAAAGATTTTAGCGATGTAATTTTTGCTCTGGACAGTAGATGGGCTGGAGTGAACTCATATCTTGGTTCTGTGTATGTTATTTCCTAAAAACTAACAGAGAAGTTTGTTCTAGAAATTAGTGAGGCTACCTTGTTTGAAGATCAGAGTGACTCTTTGTCCATCATTTGATTGTGTGATTTTTAAAAATCAATCCTTTTTTCTTCAGACAATACTTAAATAGAAGCTTGAACAATTATGCACTTCATTATCTTTCCAGATGTAGTAATATGTAATGATGCCAGCATGAGGAGCAGATTTATACTGTTTAAGAAGCCACCGAAAGTACCAAAGATGGGAAAGAATAAGATAATATGCCATTCCATGCACAGTCATAATTGACTTTTAAGAATAATGATGTACATATAAATAATCTGTGCTGTTAAAAAAAAAAAAAGAGAGACCCTGCCAGTGCATTCTTCTGGTATATGAGTCTAGAGTACAATAAAGGACTTTTGTACCTATAACTTCTATTATTTTCATTTACTTATTCCTTTTTATGTACAGATACAGATGTCTGTGCCTACGTATTGCTGTCACCTAAGTCTGCCATCGCCAGCATTGCCCTGCACTTTCAGTTTATAACAAAAAAATGGAAAACCATTTGACATTTTGTCTTCAAACCTTCACAACTGATGAACACTCACAAAATACAGGTCAAGATTGAAAATCAGCTTGATTGGATGATTTTTCCTAAAGCTATACTTTTTTTTTTACTATTTTCAGCATATATTATCTACTGATATACAAACAACATGAAAACTGTCGGAATTTGCTTTAAAACTTGCGGTACCGATTCATAGGACTAATGTACAGATCAAGTTTGAATGTTATCTTGATCAGTTAAGTTATGATGAAGCTTTTTGTTTATAAGTGGTTTTTCCTCAATTCTTAGGCATGTTAACAGGCACATTATTGAATTAATTACATTCATAAAATTTGTCTTTTGACATTTTCTGCATCTTAACAATTCCATTAGGTGATTATATAAAATTGATGGTCAATCTTGTTTATTGTGTAAATAAGAGTCGTAAATGGAAAAAAAACTCATATCAGTGCAGTTTGTCAGATTCAATCCTTCACTGTGTTCAGAATCTCAGAATGGAGCAAATTGGACATTTAAAATTGTTCAATTAATATTTTCCCTTCTCAACAATTATGTTAGTTGATCATATAAAAATGATAGTAAAATTTGTCTTGTGTAAAAAATATTGAAAATGGACATTATTTTCCTTATTTATGTACATACATTTTACAGTTCTGCTGCCTTGTTTAAACTGTTTGTCATGATTTGCTGACAGTCGGGCGTTTGGACAATAAAGGCACAACATATGCTTATAAACAATGGAATAATATGCTTCAATTCCCGAGATGTTTCGATTCTGTTGATGTAAGTGACCTTTGCCATGTGAAGACGCACTGTTACTGCTTAAAGTCTTTGTGTATATATAATTTTTTTTTTTGGGGGGGGGGGGGATGTAACCAGTTTTTTTTTAATCCTATTTGTAAACAAAAAGGTGGCATTTTGTTGGGTTTAGAAGCAATTATTTGATTTTTTTACTAAAACCAAATTTTGTTTTAAAAATAAGAGTTTATTTATCAGTCTTGATCAACTTGCATAAAATACATTTTCAATTTACTTAACATGTAAAAAAATTCAACTTGTATGATAATTATGATATCATATAAAACACTGGAATATCAACAAAAATCTTCATATAGTTTAAAACAAAATTACAGATTTGCATAAATTTTGCAATACTAGCACCTGATTCTAAAAGTAAAAGAAAAAAATATGAGACTAAAATCATATATGTTCTATAACCTAAACACTGAGTTTAATTATCTGTATTTTTTATTAATGATGAGGTAATATCCAATGTTCCACTGTATCCATTGTCTTCGATGGCCTCCAACTGGGCAATGTAATCCTGAGGAAGGCCATTCTGTCTTGCTCCGGACACAATGACGTTCTTGTACTGTGGCGAGGGTGGACCAAGGCCTCTCTCTAATGGTCTTAATAGCTCATAAGTTCTGCACTCCAGGATGGATCCATCTTCGCAAGTAACCTGTACCTCTATTGGTTTATAGACCATTCTTGATACACCTTCTTGACTGAAAAGATTTTCACTCAAAGTTAATAATATCCCAAAACAGTTTTCCTCAGTACTTAAATTAGGGATGGATATGATATTGTATCAAATATTTATCACAGAGTATTTTTCTTTGTTTTTCCACACTTATTCAAAATGCAGAAGTTTAAACACTATTACATGTATAAACTAATCAATGAGCTCTATAGGTTCTCAAGTCCTTGTCCTGAGGGGAAAGAGGGCAGGGAAAAGATTCAGGACCCCCCTTAAAAATATCTTCATTAATATATTTTTTAGTATCTTACTAATAAATTCTGAACAATTTCAGGCATTTACTTGCCCAGTCTGGAGTAAAATGTGGCTATTACCAAATCACTATGTAAAAATTCTAAAAAGTCATTTTTCTTATCACAAATGGAGCATTGCTTTGGCTAATAAAACTAATTAATTTTGCCTGAACTTAATGAGTGGGAAATACATGTATAACTGATTGATTTTGTTCACATTTTGGTGGACAATGATCTTACTTGTCCAAGTTCTGCTTATCCGAGATGTCCAGTTCCCACACCACTCCCCAACACTGGGCCCTCTGGACAGGTAGAATAGTGGCAACATGGCCTTGCCAGCGCTGAGAAAACATGGCAAATGTTAGCTCCCAGTCCTAGAAATAAAATCACATATCGATCTGGCTGACAACCATTGGTCCATAATTAAACATGGCAATGGCAGCCATGATCATCGAAAGAATATAATGACATGGTTGAAAACCAACTGTCAGTACACTTGCCAATCCTGGAAATATAGTTACATGTTTGACAACCACCTGTCAATAAACTTGCCACTCCTAGAAATATAATGACATTGGTAACCAGATGTCTCCGCCACTGAATGGTAGGTAAACTTGGCAAAGGCCTGTCAAGAGAATGAAATGATTGATGGACACATGTACACAATGTAGGGCAAAGCAGCTGTAGGTCCTGTAAATTAAATGACCTAATAGTATGTGGTTAAAACAAGGCAGGATATATAGTTCCTAGATTAAAATTATGTGAACAATCTACAAAATTGTGGTATTTATTTAACCCGATTTAATATATTTTAAACATAATATAATTAAGTGATTTTGATGAAATATCAACATAAATGTAATTGCCTCTACTGCAGATCTACATTATTTTACAATTTACAGCTGTGGTCACATTGTACATCGATCCTAATGTTGGCATACCTGTATATGGCCGACCGCTTTAAATACTGCGGACTTATTGTTAATAAGTATTCTCTCCTTAAGTAAGTTACTTCCATACGCAAAATATAAAAACGTCCGTCTCCCCTGGTCAACTCTGTTCTCTGCAGCGTTCTTTTCCATTTTGAATAACCTACGCACATTAATAACGTTATATAAGGGGCTAATACTGATACTAGTACATAAGTAGTTGATCCTGAGCATTAAATTAGTCTTTCGCGTAAAACATCTAAAAATAAAACATTGCTGTCAAAATGCCACAGTGTACACACGCACAGTAATAGAGTTAATGAAGGACATGCTTTAAGCTCTCACTGCCGTCCACAGGGTCAGGCACACTGACAACAGTGTCACAGTCACAATTAAGGCGCTCGTTAAGCCGCTCCCGTGTTGTTGACGAAGATCAATCAACCTTCCAAGCAGACAGCGTGATCTAACGTCCATTTACTTGATTCGTTGAAATACCGGGATATGCAAAATGTCATTGCTTGGTTACTGCAACAGTTAGGACGAAAATCATGGAAAATCAGACTGTCTGGCGACACACTTGGCGAAGATTTGTCCGATATGCGCAGGTCTAACAGCTGATTATGTATCGACCAATCAAAAATATAGTCGACGACAAATCAAGATGAGACAGATCCCGGTGAGTTGGGACGTAGCCTGTTTTTCTCTCCTGGCACGATAGATGGAGGATTTATTGTTTTGAAAATAAATATTTATTTTTGAAATTAAAAAGTTATATATACAGATATAAAAGGTGTCACTGGCACAAATTGCTCTTGCTAAAAAATTAGTTATGTAACTTTATGTTGTGTAATTTTAATTCAGTGTTTGTTGTTCTCCATTTCTTTCCTACATTTTGTTGAAAAAAAAAGAAAGAAAAAAGAAAGAAAGAAAACAGATAAAAAGGAATCGTGTAGCACATCCTGCAATGAACAACTATCGCATCAGTCTGTAAATTATGACACCTCGCCTATTTCTGCTGCACCTGCGCTGCGGCACACATACATTCAGGTTCTGAACTAACGAAAACACGCGTCAGATGTAATGACGTTGTAATAAACCATCAAAACTAATTTCATGCAGTTCAATATATGTATGAGCAATGATTATAATTATAAGAACAAAAAAGGCCCACGTACATTTATATAACGCATTTCATTTATATTACTTAAAATGCATTTTAACCCCTTCTTTTTAACATGGCTTTGCTTTCAAATGCACTTTTTTAAGTTGTCGTTTTTATCCTGTGCAAAACTATCGAAACTGAAAGGCGCGACACAATAACATACAGCGAGTCTAGGCGTGGAATGGTAAACCATTCAAAGACGTATTGACTTTTTTTTCATGTAAAACAAATTTACGACAAAGGGCGTGTGCGTTTGTTGAACGCCCAGTTTTTAGCGTTCACAAAGACCACAATGTAGGTCCCCATACAAATCCCTTCACAAAAGGCTTACGTTCCGTGAAGCAATTCAGCACGGGTTTCATTTCAATATATATGTTGCAGGTCAAACCAGGGCCCAATAATTTAAGAGACTAATATTAATATTAAACCAGGAAGCTTTTTATTTGTCATATAGTTTCTGTACGCCACAGCATCTTAAAGCGGACGATACAGAGTGAACAACAAATTAGGGCCTTTGAAAAAGTACTTGGAAAATGACGCCAAGTGTACGTTGCTGTAGCATATGTGGTTCATTGTAAATGCAAGACTGCCTGGGACCATTGACCCGCCAAGAATTACGCTCTATCGGCACAGGTAACAGTCACACGCCGAATGAGATCGGCCTAAGGAGCAGGAAAGTCGGCTTTTCGGACCTGAGGGCGCGGCTGCGTTCCCCTTTTTGGCCTCACGTGCAGCTCTAAACTTATTGACAAAAACGAAATTCAGGAAAGCGGATTTGAGAAGCTGACGTAACTCAATAGAAGTCGACGCTTAATGTGTTCACCTGTCTTAACTGGGAGTAGTTCGCACGACGGTAAGGCCGGGGTCATCCGTATTTATCGACTACGAAGCGCATATTGATTTTTAACACTCGGGACACGTACGCACTACTAGCATCGGACTGTTTGGCAAGGTTAAACAGTAGTTCATATATTGAGGTTTACGTTTTATTGCGTCCTTAAATACTGCACCACAATACCGGTAGAACTAGATCTATAGATATCCCAGTTTAGTTTTGGATACTTAGACACAAGGGTGTGGCACTGTCATGACCCTCTCATACTCGTATGCTCATATGTAACTTGTGATAAGGCAGATATATAGAACATACGTAAACAATGCCGGAATATGCGCAATGGCCAGAGGAGATGTATATGGAATCCCTGGGACCGGGAAAAGGAGGAAAGTTTCTGAACCAAAGTCGAGAGTATCTTAACAAACCGGAGCGATACCCAAACGAGCCAAGGCGGGGATGGGGCGAACCCTCGAAGAGAGGCATTGATAATCGGGGGTATGACGGAGCTCTAGACCAACGTAATAAACCTGTATATCAGGGCCAAGGATATGAGCGACCACCCCCTGGCCGGCCGGACAATTCAGCCGACTATTATCCGGCTTCTAGGTATATTCAACGCGACGATGAGCCATACCATGCAAGGCGTAGGATGGATCACAAGGGGGACAGGAATGAAGGTAAAGATAGACGGAAATCGAAAGGAGATCCCAGTGGTGCACAGGGAGCGAAAAGATCGAAAAACTTGCCACAGTCGGACTTTGTTTCGAGACAATCAAGCAAAGAGGCTCACTCGCCCTCCTCTAAAAATAAGTTCCAAGACAGGAAACAGATAGACAGAGATTCAAAATTCAATTCCTCCAACGAGGTATTCATACCGCTCCCGCAGTATAGTGATTCCTACATATACGAAAGCGAAGAAAAGCGCCGGCCGCATCACAGGAGGAGAAAACGAAAGAAAAACCATCGGTTTAGATTGTTGATTGCCCTCGCTGTAATAATCCTGATTCTTACGTGTGGTGCTGTGGCGGCAGGGGTCTATGTAGCCCTGAGAAGCCAACCATCTCAACAGAGTGGTTCTGGAAGTGATACTACAACTACGACTACGCCAACTACGACTACACCAATCACTTCACCACCCGTCTCTACTCAGTCTCCTGTTAGCTCCACGCGGGCTTTGACATCTACCGCTGCCGCCACCACACCGACTACGACTACACCAATTACTCCACCACCCGTCTCTACTCAGTCTCCTGTTAGCTCCACGCGGGCTTTGACAACATCTACCGTTGCCGCCGCCACACAAACACTAACAACTTCTACACAGCCGCCTACGACTTCAACGCAGTCGCCTACGACAAGAACTACACAAAGGACGACTACACAGGCTGTCACTACAAATTCCCCCTACCAGTCTACTACAACTTCTACGCACGCAACCACATCTACAGAGTCGCCTACAACTACTTCACAGATATTAACATCTTCTACACAAGAAACCACAGCTACTACACAGGTAACAACAACATCAACAAATGAAACAGCTACAAATGCAACTGTGGCGCCTACAACTTCCACGCAACTGCCAACAACAGATAGCCAAGTATCCTCAACTATCCCACAAACGCCCATGAGTTCTACAGGGACGCTAGCAACATCTACACCGGTGCCTTCTTTTTCAACGGAAGAAACGCTAACGGTTTCCACAACGGCAATAAATCCGTCAGCCGCACCGTCTTCAAGTGCAGCTGGCATTGTATCTACTTCTATAACGTCCGCTGAGACATTTTCACTTTCTACTATTACTGCACAGGTGATTTCAACTTCATCTGTCGCAGCACCATCTTCAAGTTCTGGCGAGGCGCTTTCAACTTCTTCCGCAACACTAACGACGTCTACTGCATCACATACAGCCTCTGTACATACTCTTTCACCGTCGTCTACAACTTCTACCCAGGTTCTAGCACCATCGACGACCTCCACCGAGTCACTAACAGTTACTACAGTTTCTACAGAAGCACTTAATAGTTCTATAAATTTAACGCAGGGGGGTGCGTCTTCCACAGAAACAGTGACATCAACGCCATATAGCTCTGTTATCCCGTCTTCCTCCGGTATCCCGTCACCTTAACAATACCATTGATGCGTAAAGGTTTTAAAACCTTCTACAGTGGCTATCAAGCTACTTGAAATTTCTACGTTCACAGATGGCCTGAAAATCTGTACATCTGCCATGCAAGCACTTGCCTCTGAGAGGACATTACTGACAATATCAATATTACGCTGCGTGTGCAAATAGGACAAAAGCTCTCAAAACAGAGCCAGTTACCAGGCGCCTGTATAGACCTATACCGGATTTGCTCCGCAATCCCTCCAAACGGAGACGAAAATAAATTGCAAGAATAAGTTCGGGGAAGTTATAACTTCTTCACTAGAACAGCGCCTAGACCATAAAATAGACTTCAAGACTTAGAATGACATATACTTATATGGGAAAATTAGTCGATAATGTGAGCTATGTATACCCAGTATAACCAGCTTAAGGAAAGTTCGGCGTGTTACCAAGAAGTTTATATAAATATGTCAAATACAATTGTAGAGTTTGAGCATAATATGATGTAGTTTAGACAACACACCTGTTGTCAATTTTGTAACTCACTTTTTATGACAAGGAATATTTTATTTTGAAATATATATTGTTAAGAAGGAGGATTCAAACCGCGTCTATCTTAACTCACAAAGGTGAATTTGATATTGGAATGTTTAGAAGCGTAATTTTTACATTTGTAATTTAATATCAAATATGCAAAAAAAAAAAAAAAAAAAAAGCAAATGACATTTGCTTCTTTGTTATTTTAAAGCGCACCTCTGGGCCAATATCTGACAGTTTAAACCAATGTCTTCAAATCTCTTATTACTTTACTACAATTGAACACTTGCGAAAAAAGTATATTTTACTGTGGAATTTAAAGAATATTTAACTTCCTTCTTCGTGACTCGCAAACTCAATCCGCCACGACCAAAATTACTGGAAGTTACTGTAAACACATCGAAAAGAAGCATTCAAAGAAATGACACCTGTGACAAACGGTCAAACGTATTCTTTCAAAAACCTGTCTAATTTGCTTATAGCGAAAATGATTGGAGTGGAGGGTGTCGCAGAAGAAAAACACATTTGACAGGACAGCCCGACTCTGACATCTCCATAATTGACTGCAATGTTCGGTCATGAAGTGTCAACGTCATTTGATACTTTACACGCCTAATGCACACATCTCCCCCTCATAATACGTTTGAGCCCTATCCCTATAGAATATCATCCCAGACCGGTGTAAAAATGAAGCACATTTTTTTAATCAAAACATTCTGTTGTATTGTGTAGGGAAAAAGACCATTTGTGTTAGAAAAAGGAAATGCCGACCCATTACATTCAGGAATCTGTTCTTTGACTGGGACGGCATTCAAATGATGCCAGTCGGAAACTTGTGAAAATGCAAATAACATTGCTTTTCATCCAAGCGATATCAACCGCTGTGTACGGAAACAATCTACGGCAATGCTGGAGCCGAGGAAGGCTCGGGAAAAACGCCCCCGCCCCCTCTGCACCCCCTATAATCTTGCACGAAAATCCTTGCTAAAATGGTGTATACAGTTAAAACACATTTAGACATTTAGAAGCATCTTGCTTACTGGGAACTACCACATTTTAACATGTCTCACCAGCTTTCTTATTGGAAAAGGCAGCGACATCTGATTGGAAAGGGTATTTTTCAAGTAGCACTGGAATCCAGTGTGTACAGAAGCAGTTTAAAACACAAATTTGCATAAAACAAAAATTAGAAAGTGTTCCTTAAAACAGCTAGATATACATACAGGAATTTTGATATATGTTTTAAAAAACAAAGAGTCACCGCTCCCCAGTTAAGACTGACCGCTTATCTCTCCACGGTACATCCATGTGCAGCTAGTTCAACCCGCCCTCCTAGGACACAAATTGATTTCTCACTAGATATTTACAGATACGTCTCTGGCAAATTCATGGCATTTGTCCACAGTGTTGAAGAAAAGTGAACATTAATTTACAGCCCTGCTAGAGGGTCCGTAAGGCGACTCGGCCTGTATGATTGCAATAACTGTGGAATACGTGCCGAGAGACTGGCTCCATCTGGTGGACTAATGATAACAAGACCACCTGCTGATATCTTAATATCGCCCTTTGCCGTAGCAGAATTCATTTTGGTATAATTCATAACGTCACTGCTGAAATAATGGTAAAAATGCTTCAATGCAAATAATATGAGTAATAGCAATATATTGGAAGTATTTATTTTGATTACTGGCAATTATTTTAACTAATTATTGTCATGGATGACGGAATGCTAAATATTCCACAAACAATCACTAATTACACTACATAATAAATATCTATAATAACCTAAGACCCCAATTTAATTTCTCTCATACCCATACACATTACTTTCTTTTGTGACCTCTGAAAATAAAATCAACATTAACCTTCATTATCTTACCAAGCATACTGGTATGTCACATGCTTCATTTTCTTGGTTGTAAATTATCCATCAGCAAATTAATTAAAATATACTGTCAAGCTTTCTTTAAAAGTTTAAAATAAGAAACTTAAGAATCGTCACAGTCATAATGCTACTCATAACACACCTCATGTGACCTTTCTTTTATCTAACTGGAAACCTCAAGTTTATACTCGAGTTAATAAATAGGATATGTGACATGGTATCAAGTTACCCCGAACCTTATGGGCACTTATTCTGTCCTGTTGTTTTGGGATGATTTGTCAAACGGAGACATTCACAATCACCAGAATGAGCATTTCTAACATGTCAAGCATTGGATGTATAAGACCTGTGACTTTGTCATGTCCTTGTTCTAAAATAGCTCCAATATAAATACAGCATTTACACCCAATCTCAAGCCTGTATATCAAATACCACTTATCATCATAACTCCATTATAAAACAGTTATAAAACAAATCAAAGCATTTGTATCAAATATTTTGTCATCTTCAATATATATATATCAGTCCGTGCAGCAGATCTGAACTTTTCATTATAAAGTCACGTTTTGCCAAATGCAGCAAAAAGTCCCTTCAATAGTAAATTCACATTTCTGCTGATTTCTGAAGTATTCAGAATTCCTGACTTGAGCATAAAAGTTTACTGGATAAACCCGATCTCTGGGCATAGTTCCTAACACTGTCATTGTCTATTTGGCTGCCAAGGTGACAAAGAGTCTGCAGTCATGTTTATTCGCATATTTTTTCAGGGTTGACATAAGATCAACATGGCAAGTCTTTCAGTTGCTTTTTTCAACACATTTTGAGCAGCATCCAACTTCCATAGCTGCAAATCTGTTATTCCTTTTGTCCATAGTACAGCATTGAGCACCTGAAGAAGTACATTGTAGCTGTATGTAAATGTATTTGTAGGAACTCAGTCATCCACTAACCCACATATTCATGTGGGGACAAGACTGCTATGAAGAATCTTCACAAATCCAAATGCTAGGAATCAATCCGAACTCTTCTTCCTCCTCTGGGTTTTGCTGAGGTAGCGGTAGTTTCTTGAGTTTTCGGACTTTGGTTGCTTTGACCCATCAGTTCCTGTATAAACTTAAATCTTGAGAGGAAGACTTTCCACACAATGTACCAACCTATACAAAAGAGCACAGTTAAAATGTCATGTAATATATTCCAAAGAACGTTACAATGTATTTTTTCTCTAAAGTGGTTTTCCAATAAACAATGCTTATGGGACATTTTCTGATTCTAGCATCGACCATACGTTCTTTTCAACAAAGGCACGGAGACAAAAATTGGGAATACCAGATATCTTCTCCCTCTAGTAAAACTACTTAAAAGGCATTACTGGTATTACACCAGAAAACTGGTAAAGCAGACAGCTCCAAATAAAACGTGCTGTAAAATTAGCCGTAAGGCTCTTAAACTTCAAACTTCTAGTAAACAAATATTGCAGCGCTTGTGTAGAACATGTTTTACCTGTTAATATAAATAATACGAGTAGTGCGATGGACAAAATCACAGATAAAACAGAGAAAATGATATCTCTCATGATCTTTGTCTTCAGATTAAAATAGGTCCGCAGAAATTTTATCGAAGATATATTGTCCAATCAGAGCAGCAGCTTTAATTTACCCCGTGTAGTAAATTCATCATGGCGCTTGCTGAAGTTTGTGGATTCTCAAAGAAAGCCTGTCAGTTTTCTCCAAATTCTTCTTTATTCCCAAGACCAGAAGAAGGAAGTGATTTGGGACACGGTCTAGAAACGACAGAGAACTTTTTTGTGCCTAATGATTTTGATGTAAGTACTTAGAAGATCGACAAATACACTTAGAGTGAGTGCCGGTGGAAATGTGCATGTCACCGTCAGTGTCTAGACAGAAACAAACATGTAAACAATCTTCTAATGCAGTGGCATTTCTTTTTAAGACGACCAAAAATTAGGAAAAATAATTGCTGAGAAAATGTATGCAGCAGCCCTTAGCTGTTAGTGTTATTCCCTCCGTCAACTCACCTATTGGGACATCTTCTGATAAATATTCACCCAGTGTCTATGATATTACTAGGATTTACTTTCAAAACGATGTCACATTTAGCACAGTTTGCATTCCATGATATAAAAAAAACGCACCTATTAAGAAAAATGTGTACACCATCTCCATTTTCAGCCTGTTGAAAATTTGAGAGAGTTTACAGAAGGAGACAGCAATGTAAAAATCCACTTTGACCATGGGACCACAACGTTAGCATTTAAATTCAAGCATGGCGTCATTGTTGCTGTGGATTCAAGAGCTACAGCAGGCCCATATATAGGTATAGTACTCAGTTTACTCACCATTTGCTTTATTTAAAGACAGTCTCAGCGCGTTAAACCCTTAAAATAGCACGAAAATGAATTTTCCTGAAAAACTCACCAATTTCCCCACAATGACCAAGGTAGATCCTATCCAAAACCGTTCAGAAAATGAAGCTACCTAATACCGTTTTTAAGTTCCATTAAATAATAAAAGACGACTCGTCTTAAATACTCGGCTACCACCTCACAGTACGGCTTCAGAACGCGCAATTTCTCGCTAAGTCTCGCGGTTTACTATGAATGAAGTACTACGGCTGAGACCCGGATGTTACTATTTGGCGCCAAAACAGCAAACATGGCTCAGACGCGCGTCAAGTCTGAAGAGGAGAACGACAAAAGGGGGCGAAAGAAAATAGCCACTCCAGTTCGAAAGATACGAAAGAAAATTAGAGACAGACGAAGAAGCACTCAGACTGTGTATGTTGGTAGGGAGGTGGGGCGGTGGAGGACACTTAAAGCTGAGTTAGGACTCACATACGAGGCAATGGCGAAACTACTCCTCGACACGTGAGTATGCGCTTCACAGGTCTCAAGTGTGTCTGACTATCATATTATCCTGTTCACAATAAATGACAATATTTGTGCTCATACAAAGTTGGTCACGTGTATAAGAGCGTCGTGGGCTTTACGTTTTCTGTTTTTGATCGGTACATGTACCGAAAAGATGGACAGGCGGCACTTACATGTCTGACAAGTTTCGCTGTGTAGTCGTGACGTCTATCTCATTCTGACTGAAGCCTGCTGTAATTGGTCGTAAGCGTGGGAAAATCGAGGTCGTGACCTTGAGCCGGAAGTACTTCTGGCTGTGCTCCGAAATCATGATAAATAGTTTTCGTTTTCTAATTCTTTATTCTAGTTGTCTTAACAGGACTTTTGTGACCCAGACTTATTCATATAATAATAAACAATCTCCCAAAACACAAATCTGATCAAAGTTTTACATAGAACCTGCTTCTATACATTAATCTATCCCACTGAGTTGTCCTTTAACTTTCACTGTTACCTAAGTGTATGGTGTGACAGCATGTTCACATCTCTGTGATTCAAAGGCAAACTCTTAAAAAAAACAAAAGTCTGCCTTCATATTGAAAAGTAATTAAAAAGTCTAATGCCAGTATAAGCATACTTATAGTATTATTCTGTACTGGTTTGGAATTTTTTTTTAAGTGGCGGCATTAACCCCTATATTAAATTTCAAAAAGGGATATCACATTCCGTATGTACTGAATATGTTTTTGTTTTATCCTCAGACTGAAAATGTACCACTCTTATTTACTTGATATATATTTTCCTCCTCAGCCTCCCAGACAGTAAAGAAGGTAATAGAGATCAACCCGTATCTGCTAGGTACCATGGCAGGTGGGGCCGCAGATTGCTCCTTCTGGGAGAGGTTTCTAGCCAAACAGTGCAGGTACTTTTTTTATGGAAAAGTTTCTTAATTCTATGTAGAGATTGGAAAGCTAAATAAAATATCTTTTTGTATAAATTGTGGTAGTGAGGTTGAGAGATTTACTATAGGTTGGAAGACGGGGCTGCTCCTTTTGGGAGAGGTCCATTCTAAACAGCACATCTACTTCCTCTAATTTCGTGTATCGTTTGCATGAATTCTGATTTTTTTATGTGAAAAATAAGTTTGTTTTGATTTCTTGGCAAAAGCAATAACAATGCAAATGAATTATTTTAATATAAGTTAAAGGGATAACAATTCTTCGTATGACACGTTGTAAACAACTCGAAGAAATATATTATATTCTATTTTACCACAAAAACACCAGTTATAGCAATAATATTGAAATCTGTGCTTGTCATCTGACCACGTGACCTCCATAGATGGTTGTACTCTGTAATAATCTCTTAAGAGATTATTACAAAAAAAAGCAAACTTTTTAGAAAAAAAAACAGGGACTAACTCTGAATGTTGAAATGGATTCATTAAGCATTGGTAAGTATGGAAATATTGTCATTTACCCCAGGAAGATTCATTTTTTGGCCAAAATGAACAGTTGTTATCCCTTTAAATTAGGTTTATATAATTTACATCTGGGACCTGATGTTCATTCAACAAAGGAGTTGAAAACATCACTTTTATGATGAAACAGAGTGAGCAATAAAGAAGGGATTTTCTTTTTAGAATTTATGAGCTAAGGAACAGAGAGAGGATCTCAGTAGCAGCTGCCTCTAAACTTCTAGGAAACATTGTCTATGGTTACAAGGGTATGGGGCTCTCTATGGTAAGTTAGTACAGAAGGGTTCATTATCATTCACAAGATATTGATGTCTGCAATAAAACATTATTATCAGGTGTCTTGGGAATAATTGTTATGATAATCCAGTATTGAGTCTGACTTTCTTCTGAACAGCTGTAACAAATATTGATGAATAATTATAGTATGTCAAGCCATTTTATATATATATATTTTTCAGGGAACAATGATTTGTGGATGGGATAAAAAGGTATGTGAAGTTAAATTCTCAAACTGGTACAACCAGTAATGTAGTACGTAGCATAATGATAAAGCAGTTGTAGTATTAAACTAGCAATATCTAAGATTATGTAATGTTGGGTTTTGGATGCTACATCTCATACAGGATCATGGCCTGTATTATTTAGCCAGTGGTAGTACATGGATAAATGAAGCATGTAGTATGCTGTCATGCTTACACCTGTGACTTGTTATTCAGGGTCCTGGCCTATATTATGTAGACAGTGATGGCACAAGGATAACCAATAACATGTTCTCAGTGGGTTCTGGTTCCACGTATGCCTATGGTGTCATGGACAGTGGGTACAGCTGGGACCTCTCAGTGAAGGATGCCTATGAGTTGGGAGAGAGGGCCATCTACCATGCCACTCACAGAGACGCCTACAGTGGGGGTGTGGTCAACAGTAAGTACTTGTTGGCTGTATTTTCCTGTCTAAATGTAATGGTTTTAATTTAGAAGCACTGTCTAATGTGACTGTGTAATTATACTCAGAAAAGTTACGGAAAAGTCCTGTAAACAACAGTTTAAACTCCAGAGCTTGTGCTAAATATATCTAATATTTCATTCTCCAACAAAACTCCTCTGTTCTTAAAAAAAGATCATATTCATCAACAATCCTTTGTTGGGGATTGATGCTATAGGTTTTATAGTTACTGTAGCTTCTATCTAAAGAGTGCAGTCAGCCCAAAATTTAGATTTATTGCAAAAAATATCTTATTTGAATACATTGTCTGGATGGTTATATGCTGTCTTTTCACTATTTCAGTGTACCATATGAAGGAGACAGGCTGGATCAAAGTGTCTCAGAATGATACCAAAGAACTGCATTATAAATACCAAGCTGAGAAAAAGTGAATCATGACAATTTGAGCAATTTGAAGGGAAAAGAAAACAGTCTGAGCTATTTAGAACTCAGTTTCCGTTAAAATAAAGCAAGTCATTTCAAGCGTATTGTTGTGTTTTGAAAACACTTAGAGATCTTTTATGATGAGGATCTTTAATGTCTTGGAGACATTTCTTGGGCTTAAATAGAAGACTTGATGAACCCAGTGCAGATAGGACAAGTTTGTATTGTGATATAGCTTCTGATCTGGAAGGTGAAAAATAAATGTAAAAGTTTAAAGAAATTGTCTTATACTTCTTTTAAAATATGTACTGTTACTGTTAGTGCTGAGTGATATTATTATAGATAACCTTTCACCAATTTGGTTCCTTTTTATGTACATAATCATAGTGAAGAGAAAAGTGAACAAGTCCTACATCTTTCTAAGACTTTGGTAATTGCACTTTTAAAAAGGTCCTAAGTGATACAATTATATAAATAAATGACAATACATTTATGTAAGAATTTTAATTCTTTTTGATTAAAACCAAAACAGATAAATGAATTGTGTGAATGCAAATTGGCTGTCACAATGAATGGTGTATAAATTGAACTACTTAACTTGGGTGTGTACATGAATGTGCTCTCTCTAATTACCAGTCATTCTTAAGTAAATTTTGGGCTGTGCTGTTGTCACACTAGCAATAGTGAGATGTGCACCATCTACAAAGCACAAGTAAAGATTATTTCATCCTCTTGTTAATTTTCTAAATTTGGCATAGGATTGAAAATTCTTATAGCGAAGTATGTTTTTCCACACCCTTCAAATCTTCACATTCCGTCTGCATGAGTTTATGCTTCTCACCCAGTCTTGCCTTGATAACAATTAAGATTAAAAAGTGCTAACATTAAAACAAATGCCCAAACTTATATGCATCCATTTAATTACTTATTCTTCAGCTGACAATCAATATATAATTGTAAAAATGGTCCTTAATAAGAAATTGGTAAAAATTAATACACATCAAAATCATGTATTTGAACCTATACTACCTGAGTAGTCATATGTAAGGTAAAATTGAAAACGGTGTTTGGACAAATGGATAACTTAATTTTTTTATGATCTAAAGGGTACCGAGTTCTAAAGCAAAATTCAGTTCACTGGTCTGCTGTGGCTTTTGATCCAACTTAAGCAATCTTTCTGTTTGAAATCGAGGCTGTGGTCTCTGAGGGACCGTATCTCGTTCGCATGTAAGCATTCCGCTCATTCGTCCGTGTCAACAAACGTGGGGCCGGACCTGAGTGGCACTAGAATTACATTATTTACCTAAAAGATACAACTGATCAATATAAGAATATCCACCAGGGTAAGTGCATTTTATAGTAAAGCTTTTTTTGCTTATTATTTTATATGCATGAATGTGACCAGTATATAAATGTAGTATATATGTGCGCTAACTTAACACTGATTTCCGTATCAAATATTCCGAATACTTTAGTCTTTAGATCTGCCCACTAAGTAAACATGCCTTTGTTTAGGTTTTTGTGTCCATTTTTTTATTAGGAGATTTTTAGTGAGATTCTTGACCTATATAATAGTGAATGTGTATTTTTTGCAATGGTGAATTGGTACTAATAGTTAGCCAATGGTTATTTGGCCTAAATTTTTAATTTAATTTTAATTTTGAAATCCGCCATTCGTCATGTAGATGCATTTGTAAAAATAAGGTTTACACCCTTGCGATATTTAAACAAAAATTTAATCTTAAAGAGTGTCTATCATTGGCCAACAACTCACCCATAATTTGGCCCTTTGCCTCACTTTTTTGCCCTACCCTATACTACACATAGTAAGCACTTGTACTTATCACAGATTGTAATACAGGATGTTATGAGACCTTGATAGTGGGAAGTACATAAAATCAATGTAAGGCCAAAAACTGTATAACAGTACTCCCTCCACCACTATTCATTCCCAATAGTTCACTGTTATAGACACAGACCAGTTGTGAATGTTGCTGTAATTATTTCAGTTGATGAGAAATTCTGTAGAGCCGAATGGGAAATACTGCCACTGGCAAGCGGCCCCTGGCAAGCATCAGTTTTGCTCTTCTCTTTCGTTTAGCACTTTAAGATCAATATTTCTGTGTCAAACATGGTAAAGTTAATGTTTAAAATTTAGTCTGTGCTCTGTCATCAAATATACGTAGAGTAACTGTACATGAGTATTATAAACAAACAAATAAATGAATACACTGATAATTAAATATGTAAACGAAGAAATAATGTTATGTTTAATCAAGTATTGCCTTAAACAGCAGTTATTTGTGCGCACAGCACGAAGTTTATTTTAACTCAGAAACCTCAGCAGAGTATATTAGTAGGTGAGAAGTTTAATTATTATCAATAACTGCTGGTGCTTAACCTGATTCTATGAATATAAGGCCCTTATAAAGCCATTTTGGAAGATTTATCTTACATTATCATAAAACTGCTATTCTGTTGTTCTGTCTTAAGGTGTGGCTTGGGTGGAAAGGGTCAATTAATGATTGATTTACTAGTATATTCTTTTGAAAGAAATGTCTAGGATGAAACTTCATCTGCATACATTGTCAGGCATATATCTAGGTTCACTTGTCTAGCATGAAGACTCAATCTTTTGGGACCTTTTACAATGAATTTTGTTCACCAAGCTAATATCAAGGTAGAACTGTAGAATTCTGTCATGGTATCCAGGAATTCTTTTTTTTTTTTAGGGGGCCTTTTCCAAGTGAAACTACCACTCTCTATAGATCTATCTGACTCCACAAGGACTCTTGCTATATCATATGGCGTAATATGCAATCAGACATACACGCCTTCTCTTGTTTCCAGTATGTTTGTATAATCACCAGCTTTTTGATATTCAACTCAATGCCAGGAAGATGTGTTTTGGTCTGTTATTCTGAATTGCATTCAGCAAGAGTCTAATAGAGTTTGTGTGCACGAGCTAGGTTGACAAAATTCATTGTAACCGGTTCCATTTATATGTTGTTTCATCTTTGTAAATTCCTTTGTACATGCCCTAGTTATAGCAAAGCTCACGATGTCACTCCCTATTCTACGGATACATTGATCACATATTGTACCATGAAATAAGCACTTCACAATCAAGATCAGTATATTAAGCATCATTTTCCAGATCAGTGAGCCCTTCACTTGTTGTGAACATTTACATTGATTTTCCTGTTTTGTACATCTTTCAGATATTGGTAGTGCACTGACCCTGATGAAGCTGTACACATGTCAGGATGTTTATCCTCCATAGTGTGGCTCCCTGTATGCTTCTATTACTAGTTGGCACTCCATGTAAGTACTAGTAAGCATACATAATATATTGATAGATATAAAGAAATATATTTCAAACATTTAATTTAGTGAAATTGCCTGTGGGTCACTTCAATGTGAAACTCCCAAGTGTCAATAATTATAGAGTAATCAGATTATATTTTATGCATTTAGTCAATATGTTTATTTATTTATAAAAATATATATTTATAAGGATCTAGTTGTGCAGATAGTAAAATGTTCAGGCAGCATTGAGATAAACCCATTGTACTAGCTGGATTGATCGATATCTGCACTAGATTTTCACCAAATGCAATCACTGTAATCGACTGACACACCTCTTAAAGCTGCTAGGTTGTTATTAAGCCGAACACTAATGAAAGTTAATGACCCCCTAGGCATCAAGGAGGCGTGTTAGATAATTAAGCTAATTACACTGAATGCGATTAAGCGAGAATCCCTTGCAGAGTGGGATCGATCCAGCTGGTATGATGTTTGAATCTGAACGTGGTCTCAGTCTCTTTAAAAATGTTTCACTAGTATCTTGTTACACATATAATATGTATTTTTCATTCTGATGTCTACATGTAGTTACTGACCTATTCTTTACATTTACAGATTATGTATCATCACAATCACTGCCAGCTACTACCCAGGATCCTGCCAGTGTGGCCACAGAATCCAGCACACAATCTCTCAGTACCAGCTATGATAACAGTACCTTATCTGAAGTATCTGTCTCCACAGCAGTTCCTGTAGTCAGCACTACCCCCGCCATAGTAAACACCAGTGTGGACCCCCAGTCTGTGGGTATGTATGCCACAGGGGTGAAGGGAGGGTATCTCAAGTATCCGTCTCCACAGCAGGTTCTGTAGTCAGCACCACCACCCCAAGTGTGGTTAGGTACGCCATGAGGGGGGTTGGTGTGTGTGTGTGTGTGGGGGGGGGGGGGGGGGGGGACTTCAGGAACTTGTACCATACAGAGCAATTAATAATGTCTCTTGTTCTGTAGTGTTTTGCTATTCACTTCTGAGACCACCACTGAATGATTCTTTAATTACACTTTTAATGAGAAAGTTATGCTAAGGGACAAAATAAAACAAAGGTGGGCAGGAAGAACATGAAAATATCCTAAGGATTTACTGAAGTTGAAATTGCTTCTATTCAAGTATTGATTGCAATCCATATTTAAGTTGTGTTATATTCTTATTGCGTCTGGTCCATGCTTTATTTCCAGAAGTCCTCTATGGCTGTTCTTTTGACTCTGACTTGTGCTCCTGGACTCAGGACGGCCAAGATGGCGTAACCTGGGAGCGTCAGTCGGCACTACCTGGCAGTTTACTCAGTGATAGTTCAGGGAGTATGTCTTCTTTTGGTTTTGATTTCACTTCAGTTTTCATTTTTCAATTGGTTTTTCTTAACAGCATTTATCCCTTACAAAAGGGAGTCATTTTCCATTATACACTCTCTTAAGAAAACACAGGGTTGGAAGTGAGTAATTTTATGTACAAGGAATGCATGTACTAGAAAAAAAGAAAGAAAGAAAAAAATACCACTGATTAAATCTGTGCATATTCATTTGGATAATGGGTGTTAGCAGGGGAAGGAAATGCATGGGAATATCAGTCTGGGGTGATAAAAGACATGACTGTCTCAGTATAGTTATACTTACACAATTTTTCACATTGAAACAATGACAACAACAGACAACAGAAGAAACTTTTAAATTTAGAAAAAGTTGTTTTGCTCAGTTACGTTTAGTTTTTGTAGATAATGGTTGATGAAATTAAAAGAAAAAAGCAGAGTAACCTGTTCATGTTGACCTTACCTTTCAGGTGGCTCCTATTTATATGCCAAACCATCAGTCCAACCTGGCAACTCCACGGGACAGATAAAAACCCCATACATAGTCAACCCGAGAAAGCTAAACTCTCCGCGTATACAGTACTGTCTTGATTTTTGGTTTTACTTTTACCATAATTCTCAAAATACTGGCTCCGAGGACTCCAGCAGGCTGAACATTTACTTGCAGTCCTATGCAAATGGTGTATCTCCTGCTAACGTGTCAGAGTATCTCCTTACAACTATATACTCTTCCAGTAGTTTTCAAGTGTCCTGGAAAAAACAGTTTACCAGGCTGTGGCTGGATCCTCTAGACGATGGTTTTGCTGTAAGTAAAATAATGTGTGTGTGTGTGTGTGTGTGTGTGTGTGTGTGTGTGTGTGTGTGTGTGTGTGTGTGTGTGTGTGTGTGTGTGTGTGTGTGTGTGTGTGTGTGTGTGTGTGTGAGAGAGAGAGAGAGAGAGAGAGAGAGAGAG